CTTCTTCTTCTTCTTCTTCTTCTTCTTCTTCTTCTTCTTCTTCTTCTGCCTCCATCTGTTGTAGTGTTTGTTGATAGTTAGCAAGCGCCATTTCTAAAAAAAGGAAGGCTTCTTTCACACCATCTTTGCCATCTGTTTTTGTTTGTTCATATTCTTTTCTCAGTTCCTCAGCAAAAAAAGCCATTATAAATCTTTTCTTTTCTTTTTCCCCCCCTCTTTCTTCTTGCACCAACCAAGATATTTAAAAAAAATAGAACAATCCCAAAGTCCTCAACCAATCCAAGCCAAGACAAAGTTCTCACTTTCTCTTCCTGGGGTAGTATCAATCAAAAAAAAAGAAAGTCCAAATCTGTATCTTAAAGCCTTATTGGAATTATATTTCAGTCTTCAAATCCTTAAGGCATCTCCTCCAACAAAATCTTAACATATAAATATATTTTTTGTCCTCTCCCTTCCCACTTATCACATAAAGCTAGTTTTACCTGAAAAAGACAGGTTTCTCAGTATCCACTTATTGATTCCGTAGGGAAGGAGAGTAAACTTTCCTTTCAGCACCTCAAAATTGCCGCTTATTTTCTCTTCTGGAAAGAATCATTCAAAAAGCCATAATTTCCAGGAATTGTGTTAAATGTGTCTTAGAGTCCTGGGTCAACCAAGAAAACTTTCACTCTCAAAGGCTTTCTCCTCTTCCTCCTGCGCATTTTTACCCGGCTGCCGGCTTCTTTGTGGCAGCCATTACGGACTGCCGCTGCACCGTCTTGGGAAAAGGGGGTTCTGCCGGCCGGGGAGGGGGTCTGCAACACCCCCAAACCCCTCTCCGGATCCCCTCTATCTTCAGCCACCCCTGCAGGGCAGCCTTAGCTCCGAACCCGTCCGGATCGGAGCACCAAAAACGGCTAGCGCAGCAGGGATCGCGCAGTATCGCGAATCCCTGCCGCTCGCGAAGCCGACAAACCGGAAGTTTCAAAGTTTCCTTTTATTGGAGTAGTAAACTGGCACATCTGAGAAATCCTGAATCTGGGTTTCCCTCCAATAAGTAAAATATTACAAATCTACCCACTGAACCCCTCATTGCATCACATGCCCCAATCACTATCCGTCCCAGTTTGAGACTTCCCCTCAACCATTCCTCAGCCAGGTGCAGGAACAACATGACCTTGACTCTAAAGAAGAATGCTATTATGTCTAACCATATATGCTCCCCAAAATTCCCCCCTCCCATTTTCCCAGGCTCAAAAATGTGGCAGTGTGGAAGCTTCTGGTGCTAATATGGCTTCCAAAGCTGACACATCCTTAAAAAAAACGGGGGTTCTATTCCTCATCTTTCCTTCCTTACAACTCTTATATGAGGATAGATGATAGATAGATAGATAGATAGATAGATAGATGATAGATAGATAGATAGATAGATAGATAGATAGATAGATAGATAGATATAGATAGATAGATAGATAGATAGATAGATAGATAGATAGATAGATAGATGATAGAATTCTTTATTGACCAAGTGTGATTGGACACAAAAATGGTGCATATGGACTCAGTGTACATAAAAGAAAAGATACATTCATCAAGAGTCAAGAAGCATAAGATGCAACACTTAATGATAGTCATAGGGTACAATAAGCAATCAAATCATACTAGGAAACAGTCCATATAAATCATAAGGACACAAGCCACAAGGTTGCAGTCATATAGTCACAAGTGGGAGGGGATGGGTGATAAGGAGTTTAATAGTAATAGTAATAGTTTAATAGTAATAGTAGTGCAGACTTTGTAAATAGTTGGACAGTGTTGAAGGAATTAATTGTTTAGCAGAGTGATGGCGTTTGGGGGAAAACTGTCCTTGTGTCTAGTTGTTCTGGAGTGCAGTGCTCTCTAGCGTCGTTTTGAAGTATTTTGAAGTATATGAAGTGAGGAGGAGATACACTGATTAGAGTTCATTAGCAGGATGTGATTGTTTCATTCTAAGGCTGTTTCAGGCAGAACGGGCCCCTTGAAACAGAAGTGCATCCATCAAGGGAAATCCTTGGATGGATATCAGGCATATGCACAATCGCAAAGCTTTTGTCAAAGTCTCATCTGATTATCAGAGAGGCCACCTGGCATCCAAACATCTAATTTCTACTTTCATCTAATACTTCTCTCAAGAAATAATACAACCATTCAGTCACATTTTTCTGCTTGGTCTTCCTTTTCCAGGACAACGTTAGCCTGCCAAAGGAGATCCAAGCCAGCCTCCTGGAGCACTTGCTGGTGGCTGCCCAGCCCATCCTTCAAAAGGCAGAAGATGTGGAGTTGACACTTTGGATGACGCAATACCTCCCAAAGCTGATATCAGGAATAAACAGTTCACTTGTTCCACTCTTATTTGAGGATCTGGAGACCAGAAATTGTTCTGCTCTCAATGCTGTGTATGAGCGCTATTACTTATTTACAATTATTGCATTTCAATTTCTGCTAGTTTTTGAGTGCCATATTAATTGTTATTGTTATAGATAATGTCATATTTCATGTCATATATCACTTTCACTCTCTCTCTCTCTCCACACATACACACACATGCACGTATGCACGCGCACACACACACACACACACACACACACCATAACTACCTACTGGATTTATAAGGCTGTCCAACTAATAATGTGACTTAGTAAATATATTTTATTATATTATGTGATGTTATACATTACAGACCGGAGAGTAGAGGAGATGCGAGACAATTGGCTTTCCTAAGCTCAGAGGGATTCTTTGTTTTTTCCTGGGCTTTATATTCCTTGTTGCCTTATTGCACAACATACTTGGACCTAAGCTAGATAAGTAGGCAAGAGCCTTGATGGCACCTGCGCCTGTCTGACTTGCATATCAGCACTTTGTGGGCACTTTGGATTTTTTCCGAATGGTTGGGAGTAATAATACTTTTCCTGTATTACAGAGTAACTCTGTTAAATGGCTCTCTTGGTCAATTTGGCAATGGGACGCGACAGAAGGTTTTCGAAGCCATCCTTAGGGTGATCTCAGGTAACCAACAACCAGAGCAGTCCCAGTGCTTTATGCTGCCCCAAGCAAAAGGCTGCTGTGCGGCATTTTGGATGGAGGGGCAGAACAGCAGGGACCAGAAGGACACTATCACAAGAACCCCATCCAGCTGACTTCATTAGATGCCTTTGGAGGCCCTGTTCCCCCGTGTCTACATCCCTCTGCCTTGGATCCTCCAATGGGGTTCAGAATGTTGATTTACCTTTTACAGATTCTTGTAATGACTGTTAAAATGATATATAAGAGGAACTTCACGTTATCTATTATATATAAAAGCGAAGTACCACTCACGCATCGTCACAAAATCTCCAGAACCGTAAAGCCTACAAACTTGAAATTTGGCACTTATGTTCCAAATTTGGTGCTAAGAAAGGGTTTTTTGAAATGACCACCAGAGCATTAGCTTTTCCTAGCATTATTATTAACATGCTCTGATGCTAAGGAGTTCTACTCCTCCTCCCCACCTGAAAAGAAATTTGTTCCAAATGCAAAACACAAGCAGAGGAGTTTCAGTTTTAGTTTCACAGCACCAAGCAGCTTTAGTACAGAACAGTTGAGCTAAGCCACGCCCAGGCTCCTTGCTGTCTCCTTGCTTGCACAGCAAATACTGCTTCAGTTTCCAAACAGCCCTTAACTCTCTCGCACACTGACAGGACGCTAGCCGGATGAATACTGATGAATGCTGGTAGGCAGAGGCAAAAAAAAATTCTCCTTATTTTCCTCCCCAAAAACTAAGCCTGACCACATAGTTTTGTAGAGAAGAACGGGTATTGTCAATATTTTAAATAAATGTGAATATGATTATTACTAAGGATGCAGGGTTTGCTTTCATCCTCAGTAAAGGTAATGTTTAAATCTTAAGGATAAATTTTTCATTTTGGAAAAATCAAGTTTGATGTTTCAAAAATTAAACATCCTGATAATGTTTTTACTTGAGAAATTTAAAAATTGTCAAATGACCTTACCTGATTTTTATTGAAATATCTTTTTACCTCCCTTCCTTGACTTCTTCAGCCTCCTCTCTTCAATGCTATGCTTCAAACACCAATTTTTGGGTGTTTCTAGAAGAGACCTTTCAGGGTTTTATTGACTTCCTGACTTTGAAGGATCTGGAAACTTTGATTCCCTCCTCTGACCTCCAAAAGGTAGTGTTGTTATTCACTGACATCAAAATTATATCTTATATCTAATATATTCATGCATATTTTTTCCTTCCTAATAATTTTCCTGCTTTTTTCAGATCAATGGAGTGTTGATCTATTAGTTGCGACATGAATTGATTGGCTGGCCTGTTGACTGAGCCTGAGGTTGTGGGCTGAGAGAGATGGGCTGGCCCAGCTGGTGTTCTTTCCTAAGCCAGAACTAGGAGTCACAGTCTCCCGGTTTCTAGCCCAATTCCTTAACCAGTGGCCCAAATTGGCTCTCAATCATTCGTGTAGGAATGTCCCATGAAAAATATCCCAGTTAGCCAGCACCGAATAGCCAATACCTGGGGAGCTGCATCTGCCCCCTCCCCAATTATCTTTGCTCCTGTACAATCAAGGCACGAATCCTCCTTGTTACCTCACTATGCTAAGGAGCTTCTAGTCTTATTTGGATGCTGATTTTCTATTCTTTTCCTTTTTTCCAGATTGTGAATACAGTTCCAGCAGATGATCTGGCTGATCTGTTTTCTAGAGAGGGATTCATTGATGATGATCCTTTCTTGACTGCTGTGTTAAAGATCTATAATAAAACTGGTTTATTTATTGACAGACTTAACCAGAAAAATATTATTGTAAGAAACAATTATGACTTATTTAACAAACCATTAAAAAGTGAACTTTAAGTATAATATATATGTACAGTATAAACATTATTATTCATTAGATTTAATATAGCTGCCCATTCCAGGGATTCTGGGTAATTTACAAAATGTAATACTAAATTAAACAATTACAGAAATAAACATTTTAAAAGGCAGGCTGAACTAAAAACAGCCAATAAAACAAACCTGTGACAACATTTAACAGAAATGTACAAAAAAAAAGAGGTGAGAGGAGACAGGCAGTCTCAGGTCTTATGCCATGAAAGCCTTTAAAGTTTAAGTACCAGCACCTTGAATTGCACTCATGGCACAGCAGTGACACATCGGCATAACAGAAGTGCCCATTGCTGCTCACCCTGCTGCATTTTGAACCATTTTGAACTTCCAGAACAGTCTTTCTCAACCTCAGTGCTGGCTGAGAATTGAAGTCCACATGTCTTAAAGTTGCTGTGGTTGAGAAACCCTGTTGCAGATGGCCTTGAAGGGCAGCCTCATTGGAAACGGTGGCATTGTCCAATTCCTAGGTGACTAGAACATGACTGACCACCTGCAAGTCCTCCCAGTCAAGGAAAGGGCAGAATTGGCACACAAGATGTATCTGGGCATTGTTGGTTTTGGATTGTTCTCATCCCTGGTTAGATTTCTAGCACTCAGATCTTAGTTCTATGACTTTCCTCTTGCAGGACATTCTTCCAAATGGCACCAAGGTGGCTCTTTTGGCTGGGCTCTGGCCCAGCGTGGTTTCTAGCGGCCAAGAGACTGAGGTGTCCTTGTGGCTGGATAGCCGCTTGGCTCATTCCTTCATGTTTCTTAATGGTGACATGTTGAATGCTAGTGAGACCTTGAACACCAGCTGTGGGATATTCCAAAAAATGTAAGTATGTGGCCATGTCAATATGGAGCCCTACCTCAGTTTGGAACTCTCCAGATAGACGGCACTGCAGTTTCCAACTATGGGAATTAGGAGTGGAGGAGCCAGAGCTGGACACCTCTTTGGGAAACAAATAGATCTAATTCAGAATCCATAACAATTCTGCCTCATGTTCCCTGAAGCCCACTCCTTATCATTTAAAAAAAATAATTGCTTTCTATCAGCAATTATACTGGCGGCAGCACAGTGATTCGAATACAGTGTTGCAGGGCAACTGCCCACAACCAGGAGTTCAATCCTGACCGGCTCAAAGTTGACCCAGACTTCCATCCTTCCGAAGTTAGTAAAAGGGGGACCCAGATTGCTGGGGGCAAGAAGCTGACTTTATAAACTGCTTAGAGGGGGATGTAAAGCACTGTGGAGTGGTATAGAAATCTAAGTGTTATTGCTACTGCTATAAGCATTTTATGATGAAAGGGATGTCAAGTTTTCTTTCCTATCATTGGTACGCACATTTCTATCATTGGTACACTGGGTGAAACCAGGCTCAATAGCAGTAACTGTGAGAGGGATCTTGGAGTCTTAATGGACAACCAGTTAAATATGATCCAACAGTGTGCAGCAACAGCCAAAAAAGCCAATGTAGTCCTAACTTGCATTCACAGAGGAATGTAATCAAGATCAAGTGAGGTACTAATACCACTCTATAAAGCCTTAGTAAGGCTTAGTAAGGCCAGTACAGTATCCAGTTTTGGTCACCACACTATAAAAAAGATACTGAGACTCTAAAAAGAGTGCAGAGAAGAGCAACCAGGATGATTAGGAGAGTGGAGGCTAAAACATGAAGAACAGTTGCAGAAACTGGGCCTGGCTAGTCTAGTGAAGAGAAGGACCAAGGGAGATAGGATATTGGAATGTTTGAGGGGCTGCCACTGGAGGAGGAGGTCAAGCTATTTTCCAAGGCACCTGAAGGCCAGGCAAGGAATAATGGATGGAAACTGAACAAGGAGCGATTCAATCTGGAAATAAGGAGGAATTTCCTGACAGTGAGAACAATCAGCCCATGGAACAGAAGTTTCCTTCAGAAGTTGTGGGAGCTTCATCCCTGGAGACTTTCAAGAAGAGACTGGACTGCAATTTGTCAGAAATGGTGTATGGTCTCCTGCTTGAGCGGGGGGAGTTGGACTAGATGACCTACAAGGTCCCTTCTAACTCTTTTAATCTGTTAAAGATGTCTCTTCTCTAGCTTCTTCCATTTAACATTTTATTTATGTTCTGCTTGTTGGAACTTACATTACAGCCAATAAGATTTTGAAATCTGAGGCAAAAAGATTGTTTTTATGTGTATCTAATAGTTTGGCTGGGTGGTGGTCAAGTAGTAAAGTTAATGAGTTTGCAAGAAAGAAGTTCCGCTTCTCTGAAATTTTCTCTCTCTCTATTGGCCAATACTTACTCCATACCTCTCTTTCTGCAGAGTGAACAAACTGAATGAAAATATTGTGATGTTCAAAGACAAGGACAAAGAAATGTACTTTTCCATCAAAGCTTATCTGACTGGTAAGGTCATGGGCGAAATTCTCTTTCTGTTTCCCTTGCAGGAGGTGTTGCATGTAGAGCTGACTATAGGCCCAACATCTAACCATACATAGCTCATACATAACACCTTCTCAGATCAGAACATGGCACAAGGACCTTCACATCAGAATGAGGTTCATTCAGTCTCTACAAATCTTAAATGTACCGTAGTTTTGAAATAGGTTGGCTTATACAAGCAGATGTCCATCTAAGCTGGAGTCCTCATGTAAAAAGGCCTGTGAAAAGTCCGGCATGTAAAGCTTCCCTCACAAGTTTAAAGGAGGAAGAAAAAGTCACACATCTATCTCAAACTGCTTGCTGTAGTAGAAATCCCTTACTTATGTGTCACTATGACAGTGTGATATAACATCTGTCTCGTTCTCAAGTCTTAAGAGTTAAGCTGACCACAGACTGGTCCTGCTGGTTTTCTGCCAGGAACATTCAGAAAGAAAACGATACCAGGAATTGCCACCTGTCTTGATCCCATAACATTGCTAACTCCTAATTCTGAGCATTGTGTTAATATTAGCTAGTTTGTTCATAGCATATTCTAGTGCTGTTAAAAATACAAGTGCTTTAAAATACTTACAAAATTGTAAAACAAAATTCAGGATAAAAATCTTTCAAAGAGACCAGTGTCTGGAACTAGGTTTCTTTAAAAGTAACTAGAATTATTTTTCCTACAGCAAGCAAAAGCAGACCCCGATGCTACAATCCCAGCAATCCAGAGAGGTCCAGTTGGCTTGCGATGTATCTTGGGAACTATATTTGTTATAGCAGTGCCAGAGACATGCGCTTATTCACAAACAAAAGTGCTGCCATAGTATGTATTGCTGCTGGAATTGTTTTAAACAAAACCTGTTGGAAAGACTGAGGTCGGAACAAATTCTCTTTAGAAAATAACAACTTATGCCTGATACGCTCATTGTTAATTTTTATTCAACCCATGGGGATAACATCCTATTGGTTAGAACAATGGGATGATCAATGGGTCAGAAATGCTAAGATAGCAACTGTGACTGGCAGAATTTTGATTGCACAGCCATAGTTGCCACCTTTTTCCCCCTATGTGAATAAATAGACTATATTCAAAATATTTTGTATACAATTTTTTCAGGGGTGGGATTCAAAAATTTTTACTACTGGTTCTGGTGTGGCTTGGTGGGCGTGTTTAGTGGGCGTGGCAGGGGAAAGTTACTGCAAAATCCCCCTTCCCTCCCCACCCCACTAACCTGCTTTCCAGCTCCGTTCTCCTGTGCAGGGCAACCAAAGAAGACCCCAGCCGATCAATGGGAGGCAGAGAAGAGATGGGGGGTGAGGCCAGACAGAGGTGGGATTTGCTGGTTCTCTGAACTACTCAAAATTTCTGCTACTGGGTTCTCCAGAACTGGTCAGAACCGGCTGAAGGCCACCTCTGAACTTTTTCTTGGTTAAGTTTATTATGTCCTATTATAGAACAGAACAGAAGAATAGAGTGGGAATTAGAATAAAATAGAATAGAATAGAACAGGTTTCATTTGGCCAAGTGTGATTAAAGACACAAGGAATTTGTCTATGGTGCAGAAGCTCTCAGTGTACATGTAAAGCAACAGAGTAATAATAACGGTAATCTGATGCTAATAAGAGGGGGATAGTAGAGAAGATGAGATGGATCATAATAATACAACAACCTTACAGCATGGCTGAATATACCTAGACATAAGACAGTACTGTGAGGATTATGTGTTCAGCTGACTGATGGTATGAGGGGAAAAATTGAGGAGATATAAAATCTGTTTGTAGAATTTCACCATGATTTATCTGATTTTAATATGAGGTGAGAACTGAGCTATTGCAGTTGTCAGTCATGTTGATGGCCTGGAAACTAAAATATATGAAGAACAGTTGCAGGATTGGGTTTTGTTCGTCTAGAGGACTAGGGGGGACATGATAGCAGTATTCCAATATTTGAGGGGCTGCCACAGAGAGGAAGGGGTCAATTTATTTTCCAAAGCACCAGAGGGAAGAACAAGAAACAATGGATGGAAACTAAAAAAGGAGAGAAGTAACCTGGAATTAAGGAGAAACGTTCTAACAATGAGGGCAATTAACCAGTGGGACAGAAGTTGCCTCCAGAAGTTGTGGGTTCTCCATCCCTGGAGGTTTGTAAGAAGAGACTGGACAGTCACTTGTCTGAAATGATACAGGTTCTCCTGCTTGAACAGGGGGCTGGACTAGAAGACCTCCAAGGTCCCTTCCAGCTCTATTCTGACATAAAATTGCTGGTTGCCCCTTTCATACCTGAAAGTCCTTAGCAGATTTGTATTTTTTTTTTAGTTTCAAGATCTTGCTTTTAACCGAAACAATCTGGAGCTAATCAATAGAAATAAAATCCGTAAAGATTTGGCAGAAATGTATGCTACAGCGTTATTTATGGTTGACTCGGATTTCAATCTTGACAGGTGAGTGGAAATGTATTTTGGTGCTATTAAGATATTTTAATTATATTCCCAGTAACTATAACAGTTAGGGGAAAGGAGTTTGGTGGATAAGCAAACCTTTTGTAGCTATAAATAAGACACAGAATTGATGGAACTGCTCCTCCAGATAACAGGTAAGAAAAGAAATTCAAGGAAAAGTATTTGAATGCTGATATTTCAAAAATACATGTGAGAAATTCTCATCACATGGCAAGAAAATCTGCATAATTATGTAGTTGAAAAAAACATTTCCATTTTGTGGAGATGAAAATTTCCAATTCTGTGGAGTGCATGGAATGGGGAGGAGAAACAGAGTTGGGGTATCCAATCTGACCCTAACTACCTTAGCTCTCTTTGTTGATCTCTCAGCGTCCTGGAAAGCTCTTCACTTCAGCCTGAAACAGCCACTTGATGAAGCAAATTGTAACTTGTGCAACACTAGTTAGTTAATCTTGCTTGAGTCTGAAAAAGCTAAGCAGGCTCATATCTGATCAATACTTGGATGGAGGACCAGCAGGAAATCCCAGGCAGTCTAGAATATGTAAACTAAAAAAAAGGTGAAGACAAAGGCAAACTGTATTAACTCTATAGACAGTAAATCTGCATTGTTATCCCCCTCCCCCATAAATGGGTCTGTGAAGTCATTAGGAGCAAAGCCCAACTCAAAGGAAGCTTTCACCTGTACATTTGCCCTCTACTGAAGGCCAACAGGGCCTTTTGCTGCGAGTGCTCTCCTTCCACCTGCATGCATCACCATAGAGCCACTTCAAAGGCATCCATGGAAAATAGGAGCTGTACATCAAGCAGTAGCTATAGCAGAGCATCCATTCAAGGAACACCAGCAGCTGCCTAGAATTAAGCCAAACCTTCCAGGATATGAGTCTCGGATAAATCTGAAGCAGCTGTTGGGCTTTGCTTTCTTCTCAGCCTTCCAGATCAACTCACTTGTTTTGCGCAACACTCCACCTTGATCTCTCGTCTGAGCCCTGCAGAGGCCTTGAGCTTCATTGCCCGGGTCAACCAACATTGCAGCTCTTCCAACCCATCCGCCTCTGACCGCCAGGTGAACTCACTCAGTTTTTCTATTTGCACATGTTGCTCAGAAAAGGGTAGTCCTAAATTCATGGTACATATTGAAGCTTATTCATGGGCACTGCTTGGATTGGGAGGCGAAAGAGGACTGGGACAGCTAGCCTTTCCAGGTATCTGTTCTGAACAGTCTAAATCAAAAAATAGACTACAGTTTATTAGCATTTGTTCTTTGGTTAAATATGCAGTCTAAACAAGCCAATTGTTTATCTGTCTTTCTTTGTCATGCCCTTTGAAAACCCAATATTTTTTCTGGGGGGAGAGGTCACAGTTCTATTCTCAGTTGGACACTGTTGTTCACCAGAGACTAGAACAGAGAAATATGCTTATATATGCTAATGTGGGCCCATTCCACAATGAATGGAATCAAGTTGGTATCATGGGAAATGTACAGAGAAGGTGGGTCTTTCTCCCCTCCTGCCTTTGATGTAAAAGGTGGCAGGTGCTGCCTGATAAAGTAAGAGAGAATGGCAGGTAGTCCTTTACTGTGATCCCACGGGACTGATTGGAGACCTTGTCCTGGAAAGGATTCGCCTAGGAGGAGGGGCCTGGGAAATAGCCTTTTTCATATCACAGGCATGGAGGGGGGCTGGGACATGGATTCTTTGTTTTGATTTACAGATGTTTTCTTATTCAGAAACCAATTCCAACAATGTAACATGTCCACCACCTTTATAACCATCTCTGTCACCTTTTGTTCTGCAGGGTCCCCTCCCCTGAACCCTGTCTTGCTGCTAGTAATCAGCTGATGTTTGGATTGTTTCTTAATTGGGGATCAGCTTGGGTTCTGTTGAAACAGGAACAAAGACCCATGTAAAAGACTCTGTCAAAACCAGAATTATCTTAGAGTCATGGGCGAGAGGGACTGGAGGGGAGAGGGTGTGGCTACAGCTCCCAGGCAGCCAATAGGAATGGTGCAGGACTTAGTCCCTCTCCACACTGTCAGCTGCATCATTGGCAATGCATCCTTGTGCATGTCCATGACAAAAATTGTGTTGAGAGAAAAGGGAACTGTTTGTTTAAAATGTAGAGCAAGTCAAGGTAACATTCTGCTTCCTCAGTTGTGCACTGGGATTGAGAGCAAGGCAATATCTCTGGATGAAGCAGGGGCACATAAATTCCATCACTCACTCACTCAAATGCATATCAGGAGGATATAGTGTTCAAAAGTGGCTCCCAGGGCATGCTTCCCCTGTGTTAAGAGGAAGCCGTGGAACTCTAGGCTTGTAAAAATGCTCAAAATATGTCTCATCAAAATAAGAGAGTAAGTCAAGATTTTAAAGGAGATCCATTTGCCCTCCAATTCCTTGGCCTGAGCAGCAAAATCAAAATCAGAATCAAATGATGACTTGGGAGTTGTACCAAAGTTTCTAAGGATCAAGGGCAGGGCCTTTGAACAAATATATACATAAACAAGTCAAATGTTGTCATGGAATTTTCTCCAAGTCATTTTGGTATTTCAAATATCTCAACTTTAAATAATTTCCATCTTTTCTTTTGTAGCTTGCTCATATGCTTGTGGCTCAAGTCAAGACATTTGATAAACAGACCTTGATAGCTTTGGGGCAGCAAGCAATGGGGCTCACCATGGGTCAAATTTCAAATCTAACAGCACAAGACCTAGTAGATCACAAGGTTTTGGAATCACTTGGCCAGGTCAAGGGCTGGAACAGAGGACAATCCCAGATTCTGGTAAACAAGATCCTGCTCAATTACAAGGTAAATCTTGTGACTTCCCATTTGTGTTCTGTTAATATCAGTGTGTGTCATCAGTTTTCAACTGGTGTAATTGTGATACAATAAGATATATGTTTTAATTGTAGTTTTTGAAGAAAAATCATAATGGAAAGAGAATTCCAGCTCACTGCAGATCTACAAATCAGGAAACAGACCTCAATCATGTTTTTCCCTCCTGTCTCTGGAATAGTTTCTTGTCTGCTATCACCCTCACTCTCCCATTAATGCATGCCCTGCCAGGGCACCCATGAGGAAGTTTTAAAAAGTCAAAATTGCAGTCACAGTTATGATCTTAACTTTTTAAATTCCCCTGTAAAGCCCTGCACCCTGCTTTGAATGTACCATTGTGGCTTACAAAAGAATGTCTGCCAAAGGTGACATTAAGTTCTGAATAGATCTTCTCTATAATGGTTTGAGCTGGCACCTGTGGAGCTTGAAACTTAACTTTACTAATGCTGGGAAAGGAAATAATGTAAGAAAATGTCTCTGGCAGTTGAACTGACCAAAAGAGAAGGCCTTCTGTGTATTCATTTTGCCTGTTCACAATACCACCACATGAACAAAGAGATAAAGAAGGAATCAAGAGGGTGAGAGAAGAGAAGGAGATGAAGTGACACGGTCATCTTCTGAAATGTGTGCCCATTTTGTATACTGAGACAAAGGATGGATGTGGAAAGCTAATTCCCCCCTTGTCCGCAATTCTTTCCCAATAGATTTCCATTGAAATCTATTGTTGGGTCTGGTATTGCTAACCAAACAGGCAGGACTGTGTGCTCCTGCTCTCCTCTCCCCAACCAGAGAAAGAACATTCTGGAAGAGGCAAAGTTGCAAGGGAAACAATTAGCCTCAATTCTCTTGGAATCCCCTCTTCTTCCAGGGCGATGGACAGAGGGGATCAGAGGAAGAGGTTGGGTAATGAGTGGGGTGATTGACCCAATCAAGGGCATTTGACTTCCATCCCCTCAAATCTAGGCCAGTCCTGGCAGAGGAGATTTATGCCTTGACCATCTACCTCATTCTTCCTGCAGCTGGACACAGTTGAGAAATTTGTGCTTCTCGGTACCCTGGCAGAAGGCTTGCCGGGTAACAGTTTTGACACCATGACAGTCAGTTTTGTAGTTAAGCTGGCCAAGAATGTGAGCTTTCAGACAGCTTTCAGAAAAAGTCCTGATCATGTGAAGAAGACCTTTGTCAGCAAGGTAAGAGGAGAAAAAGTGACTATAAGAAATCTTGGGAAAGAGGTGGGTCCCTTTAGGATTGCTTAGATAAATGAATGAATCAACAAGTTTCAACAAGCTACATCTGCTACAAATCAAAGAATATGAGAGCTGGAAGGTCTTTGCAGCATCCAGGCCACTCCTTGCTCGCTGCAGGAAGGCGGATTAAAGCCTCCTTGGCAGTTAGCCTCTGGTTGGAGGCCAAGAGTGAAAGGGGGAGCCCCCCTCTGGCTCTTGCCCTTGCTGTAGGTATCAAAGTTGGCCAGTCTTGCGGTTGCATCTTTCTTGCTTCTGTCAGCTGCTGATGAAGAAAGTTGCAGTGCTATGTACAGCTTTACTTACAGCTATTGCTTCCCTGCCTTCCAGCCGAATTGGGAATAGATATTGAAATTTGTCATTACATTTCTGATTTATTTTGTACAATTATTATAACTCCCTTTCAGGAGAACAGCTCTCCTAAAAGCAACCATTGAGTTATAAAAGTCCTTAATTGCATATAAACGTATTAAGTTATGCATTTGATAAAGTAGATACAACCTACTTCTTGGTAAGATAGAACAATGTGGGATAGATGGTTTCAGACCAGATGGATTCCTAACTGACTGATCAACTGCACTCAAGCATGTAGTCCTCAATAGAGCTACATCTACATGGAGGAAAGCACCCACAGTGGGGTACCTTAAGGTTCTCTCTTAGGCCCAGGACTTTTCAATAACTTCATGAATGATGTACATGAGGGAACAGAAGGGGAACTCATCAAATTTGTAGAGGAAACCAAGCTGAGGGGAATTGCAAGTCTTTTTGGGGATAGATTCAAGATTCAGAAGGATCTTGACAGACTTGAACAATGGGGCCATCCAACAAGTTGCAGTACAGTGATTAGAAAAGGAAGGTCCTTGTGATGACCCAAAGGGGCATGGCACAAAGGCAACATAGTCACATAAGTAAGAAAAATCCCTTTAATACCTCCAACTTTGCCCCCAGTTGGAGGTAGTCCAGTTACTTTCGGCTGGAGAGAAAAAACTCTCCCAAGAACAGCCTTTAAGTGGAGGAAATTCAGTCCGAAAACAAAGTACATACAAAGTGTAAATAAAAATCCACACAAACCATGCTGCAGTAATTACCTTGACAGGGCAGGAGAAGGAATTGCAGACTTGAAAGTCCAGCAAAACACATACAGTTGGGAAGACACCAGGAACCTAGATAAGCCTCGACGATACCAGATAACTCACTATTTGTTCCCAACAGTTTGCTGTGCGCAACTTCCCTTTTTAAACAGTTTTCCCAGCTGCAGCTAATGAAGGGGATCAGGGCCCCTTTCCTCCCCCATAAGCCATGCAACTCATGTTGCTCTCTTCTCCGTTCCTCCCTGTGTGCCCTAGGATGAAGAGGGGGTGGGCCTGGGTCTTCCTCTGAATTCGCTCTGCCTTGCCCTACCTCTCCCCTGCTCTGCTCCCCTGCTCTGGACTTTGCCCTTCCCCAGTTTCTTCCATAGCCAACGGAGCCACACTCCCACTCCCTGTCAGCTCTTCAGCCTCCTCCTCTGAATCAGATTCCGACAGGGGCATGACAGTCCTGCACTTAGGCAGAAAAAAACCAAATGCACAGGTATAGAATAGGCAGTACCTGGCTCAATGGCAGTAATTGTGAGAGAGATCTGCAAGTCTGTGGTGGATCACCACTCAAGTGTGGGTCAAGAATCTACTGCAGCTGCCCAAAAAGCCAATGCAGTCCTAGGCTGCATCAACAGAGGAATAGCATCAAGATCATGGGAAGTGGGTAGTACTGTGCTTTATACTGCACTGGTGAGACTATACTTGGAATACGGTGTCCAATTCTGGTCACTACAATTTAAAAAGATGCCAAGGTCCTAGAAAGAGTTCAGAGAACAACAAAAAGGATAAGGGGTCTGGAGGCTAAATCACGAACAGCTCAGGGAACTAGGTATGTTTAGCCCAAGGTTGTCACACTGGTGGCCTGTGGACTGGATGTATCATGCCATGCCTGGTTTAGCAAAGGTGGAAAAAAATCCCGAGATGTCACATGATGCCGCCGTGACGACACAAGTTTGACACCCCTGGATTAGCCTAATGAAGAGAAGGGTTAGGGGGACACAACAGCTGTCTTCTAATACTTGAAGGCCATCCCAGGGAAAAGAGCAGCATTTATTCTCCACAGCACCTGAGGGTAGGACAAGAAGCAATGGGTGGAAGCTTGTCAGAGGGCGATTCAATCTGGAATTAAGGAGGCATTTCTTGACAGGGCAATTAATCAATGGAACTGCTTGCATCCTGGAGTTGTGGATGCTCCATTGCTAGAGGTTTTCAAGAAAAGATTGGACAGTCATTTGTCCAGGATGGTATAAGGACTTTGGTCTTGAGCAGGGGGTTGGACTAGAAGGCCTCCAAGGGCCCATCCAGTCCTATGATTCTATGAGTCCTTCATTGGTCATTGGGGATTATGACCTTGCAGAAAGGATCCAACTGTGCAGAATTGGGTCCCCTTCCCTTCCGCTAGTTTTCCAGGGTTTGGTCCCCTGCCTTTAAACCGATATTCTACATGCACCTTTTAAAACCTGCTGGTTGGAGCAGGTCCTCTGACTTTCTTTGGGCCATTTGCAGATCCTCTCAAGTTCCTCCTCTCTTGATGACATCTTAAATAATGTTCCAGATGATTTAATTGAATTTGTTCCCAATTCACTGCTGGTGTTTGGAGGCCAGATTCCAGATCTCCACAAAATCAATGAGAAACTGTGGTCTCCACAACAGGTATGGCTCTGGGCATATTTGCTGACTGAACCAGGGAGACTCTTGCATTTCTTGCTTCTGATGTGCTCTTCTCATTCCAGGCAGCAGTCATGTTTGGAGATATCTTCACCAGAATTGAGAACTACACAATGTGAGTTCTGGGCTCATAATAGTAGAGTAAGGGAGGATGTTATGGTAAGAAGGAGAAAACCAAGATAGAGCAGCTACAGATGGAATTTGTTTATCTATTTGTCCTTCAAATAGTGTAGGATATTTCAATTATAAACTGTATGGGGAATGATGACACAATCATGCTTAAGCAGCTTGCTTCTTCACAACATACCTAGGGTGTGTATGTTTGAACTTAAATGCCCATTTGGTTAGTTTATGATTTAGTATGTTCTGAACATGCAGAAATGGGTTGAGTATGTTGTACATACATACAGTAATAATTTTATTTTTCAAACTAGCAAAGCATGTGTTACATTCCTGGGAGACCTATCAAGCTCTCAACATTTCAGTTTGAGCCTCTGTCTAAAGTAGCCCTCAGCTTCCCACCACAGTTGAGACCAGAACTTCCATTGCTAAGCAACGTGGTAGTTAATAGACATGCCCAATTTTGCACTTGTTAAGCAGTCATTAAACCAATGACAGTAATGCAAGGACTACTTATACTTGAGATATTCAACATGAACTTCTACAAAGGGGGCCAGGAAAGTCAAGATGGTAGCTATGACTGATCACATTTTTGCCTCTTTTAAAATTTTATATCTTTATTTGATTTCTATAGGCTCCGTCTCAAGCAAATGACTCTCAGCAGCTTGTGCATCATTTATAGCCTCTATAGCAGGGACAGAATTTTGATAATTCTGTAGATTCTTGGCTGCGATCTTTGTTTTTTTGACAGCCATATCTGATCATCCATTTCTTTTGTGAGAGAACAAGGCCCTTATTGAAATCTGGTGTAATTATCCTTTAAGACTGTGGCTTTCAATCAGTGTATCTCTGTGGCTTTCAGGCTTTCTCCATTCATCTTGCAAGGCTTTCAGTGTGATGTGGCAAGTAAACTAATACCTGGGCAGCTCTCCTCCTTAGTCCAAGAAGTGAGGCGTCAAAAGGCCAATTTGAGTGAAGAACAGGTAAGGAGATCTCTTGGACCAGGTTCAGATCAAACCCAGGTTCAAGGTAGAAAGAGGGCAAGGGCTGCATACAGTGGGGCAGAAGCCAGGAGTCTGTGATGTCAGCGGCAAGAAAAAAGGCCCAGGCCCTGTTCCTGTCCAAAGCAGGGGCCTGTCAGATTGCTATGAAACAGGATAACATTTGAATTCTACTTGTGCTATCCAGCCATCATCTATAAATTGGCTTTTTTCATTAATGGCTTTTCTAGTATTTGCCATAAAACCGACCTCTCAAGACCTTTGTCTTAGAACATTTGCTTATAACACATCCAGAATTGGCTGAGACAAGCTTGACATTGGCTGACTGGATAGCTGGGTAATTAATTTATTGTGGTTTCCTAAAGCTGGTGAAACCATCAACCCACCTATTTACTTCAGGACTATGTAGAAGAGGGAATTTCCTTCTTATAGCAGAAAAACAGCTCCAACTCTCTTTTCTTCTTGATAAGTCATGAACATGTGGGTTTTCTGTCTGAATAACACACCATAGATACCAATTCTTGGAGGAAATAGTGCAAGGAGTCAGCCAAAGACCTGATTTCCCCATTCATTCCACTTTTAATGTCCCATTAGATTTTATTTCTGACTGTTTATGCACTGCTTTACATCTACAGTGGCAGATGTGGGGTTCAATAATGCCTCTAAAATATATGTTAGTTTATCTGAAAAATTTGTGGGTGATTTCTCTCTTCCATTTTACTTTGTTGACAGTTCTGTAGTCTTCTCAGGAAGAATTAAACTATGATCTCCAGCTGAAAGAAGCCTTTTCTGGTACCATAAGTGAACTGGAACCAGAATGCACATGATTAATAACAATGACCTTTAATGTTCTGCTTAGCATTAAGTTAAAAAATTAGCAAGCCATAGTTTTAATTATGCAAAGTCTGTTAACATTTTGATTTTAGTCTTTCCCAGTCATGTAACTTCTGGGTGTTTGAGCCCCACCCAATTCCCCAGAACTCTCCAGAAGACTCCCTAAGACACCTTCTGTCTGCCCACCTGGATTTTAATCATGCTGATGGAGATTAGATGGGCTGAAGTGCAGCCATGCAGGTGGCCACATGGTTGAAAAGTTTATCGACCTTCAGTGAATGATAAACGTATAATTCTTTTTTTGCTTATTGTGACAGCAATGTCTTATTTTTTTCCCCATCAGCTCTCCTGCATGGCCAGACTTCTCATCAAAAGCAACCTGACCACAAATCTCAGCAGCTACCCAGCAGATGTTCTGCTTTTTTTCCCGTGAGTAGTTCTGAAGTGGACTTTCCAGCAGAAGGAAGGGGCTTTTTTGCCTCTTTCAAGTTACCTTTACAGCTTTTCTTCTGGCTCTCTTTTGGTTCTAACAATTTTAACCTTCTCCAACAACTGTCCAAAAGACGAGTCCCAGGAGCAACAATGATCTTTATGACATGACATGAAATATTTATACAATTACTCAAAATCTAGCTATGGAGGGTGGGGCATCTTAAATGATGAAAATTCTGTTGTTTTTTTCCAGCGTTAGTAAAGTAGAACATCAAAGCTGTGAAATGTTTTACACTTTGGCTTCCCAAGGGAACCTAAGTTTATTGGCCAATGGATCATCCCAGCGGACCAGACTTTTGGAGAATGCATTGCATTGTTTTGTGAGTGATAACTCTCTCTCCCTCCTTCTCTTTTCCTGGCTGACTTTTGTGTTCTACAGAGCAGGCTTTCTAAACACATCTCAAGAAGTGCACAAGATGATTCATTCAGATGTGAGAAGATAGGTTAGAATACTGATTTATACTGTACATGTACATTATATAGCATGCACCCACCACTCGTACAAATGGAGCACAAGCACTCACTTGCTGCTTGCACAAGTGAGGCTGTGCGCACGCACACACTTGCCTGACACTTCCGTGGACCAGTTCCGAATGGCTCACAGCCGAGGAGTTGGGGCTCCAGATTTGGATGCAACAGGTTCTGATTGGCCTCTGTGGATATTCTAAGCCGCTACAATTCCTCCAGAAGATGGTAGATCAGAGGCACAGAGAGAAATAAAAGGCTGGTTGGATCCAATCAATCCCTTGCCTGGTTGACTCAGAATTCCACTTGTTCATGGTAATCCCGGACTGGATTTTAATGCTTCTGGTTTACGGTCACACAGGAAATCCTACCCCCCCCCCCAAAAAAAAAAAACAACCCCTCAAACATTACTCTCCTCTTGACTCAAAGCATTGCTTTGTTCTCCTCAAACATGGCTCTCAACTTGGCATTCATCCAAATGCAGATTAAAGATTGATCAGGTATTGAAAGAGAAGTGCAAAATTCTGGCTGCCCTTAGCCAGGCAAAACTCCTGGATCAGATATTAAGCTCAATCTCTGTTTTACAAGGGAGTAAAAAATACTTCACTCAGCAAAGAGCAGCTCCAAAAGCGGGGAGTCTTTGTGTGTGACATGAAGCCATCCACCATCACAGACTCCGACCTGGCAATCCTGGAGAATTTGAAAGAGTGTCCAGATCTCACAGCTGCTCAGATTACAGCCCTCAGGATGCTCCTGGCCAGTGGGAACACCTTATATGGGTGAGTGAGAGTCCCTTAAGAATGAAAAAGGACTGTTTTAAAAGGGCAATTAAAAGACCGGGGCAGGGGACGACACATTCTCTCTAATTTTAATGCAAGAATTCAATTTTTTATAAACATATCAATGACTAAGTTTTTGAATACACCTTTTTAATGTTTTGTGTTTTTTTCTTTGTTTCTCTTAAATGTTTTGGGAGTTCTATATTCTAAATTTTTCTGAATAAAATAAAAATAGAAAAAAAATCCATTTTTTATCACACAAACAGGAAATTCTCAAAATCACTTAAATATGAGCCATCAGTGTGTGACAGCAGCCAGAAAAGCCAATGCAATCTTAGGTTAACGAAGAGATAGACTCGAGATTACGTGAAATGTTAGTATCTCTTTATAAAACCTTAGTAAGACCACACTTGGAATGCCGTATCCAGTTTTGGTCACCATATTATAAAAAACATGTTGAGACTCCCGAAAGAGTGCAGAGAAGAGCAACAAAGATGGTTAGGGAGTAGGAGCCTAAAATACACGAAGAACAGTTGCAGGAATTGGGCATGGCTAGTCTAGTGAAAAGAAGGACTGCAGGAAACATGATAGCAGTGTTACAATCGGGGTGGGATTCTACCAGTTCTCACCTATTCAGTAGAACTGATCGTTAACATCCTAAGCAGTTTGCAGAACCGGTTGTTAGAAGAAATTACTGGCCTAATCCTGTAAGGAAGGCAGGAAGGAAACATTCTGGTGTTGCTTACAGAAATTGCCTCTCCGTTAACCCTTATTAACATTCTTGGAAGGACTAGACTTCCTGTCTCAGGAACATCTCTGCAGTCCCACCCCCTCCTTTGCTGGTACTTTGCTTGTGTGGAGTGACCATTCAAAGTTACAATGGCACTGAAAAAAGTGACTTATGACCATTTTTCATTTACGACTGTTGCAGCATCCCCACAGTCATGAGAGGCCAGGCAAGGTGATGCGTGCCTCGATGTGAGTGATGTTGAGTTGGCCACGCCCAGCCAATAACATGACCACCAAGCCACGTCCACCCAGTCACATGACCACTAAGCCACACCTACATAACCGGTTGTTCAAAAATTTGAATCCCACCCCTGGTTACAATACTTGAGGTGCTGCCACAAAGAAGAGAGGGCCAACCTATTTTCCAAAGCACCTGAAGGCAAGACAAGGATCAAAGGATGGAAGCTAATCAAGGGGAGAACTTAGAACTAAGGAGAAATTTCCTGAGAACAATTATCCAGGGATGCTCCATCACCGGAGGCTTTTAAAAAGAGACAGAACAACCACTTGACTGGAATAGTATAAGGCAGTGATGGCGAACTTGTTTATTGTAGTGTGCCAAAAGCATATGTGTGTGCCAGCACCACAATGCAATGTGCCCCCCCCATATGCATACACTCACAACACCCCCACCCCACCCCCTTACCTGCATTGCACATGCACGTGCCTCCCAGCTGATTTTCGGCTAGTTTGAGGCAGTTTTCGCCCGCCCGGAGGCTCGAGGGAAGCCTCTGCAGCCCTGGAAGGCCAAAAAATGGGCCTTCCGGAAATACTGGAAGTGCCCATTTTCAGCCTCCGGAGGGCCTCTGGAGCCTGCGAGAGGCCGTTTTCGCCCTCCTGAAGGCTCGAGGGAAGCCTCTGGAGCCTTGGGAGGCTGAAAACGGGCCCGTTTTGGCATTTCTGGTATTTCTGGAAGGCCTGTTTTTCGGCCTCCCAAGGCTGCAGAGGCTTCGCTCAAGTCTCCGTAAGGGTGAAAATAGCCTCAAACGGCCTGAAAATCAGCTGGGAGGCGCACGCATGCGCAGTGCAGGTAAGTTTGGCTGGGGCTCGCGTGCCTGCACAAATGGCTCTGCGTGTTCTGACCCAGGCTTTGTCAAACTTAAAGCACAAACTGATTTTAAAAGTAAAACCTATTTTAATGAAATGCTGGGAATTACTTGCATTCCCAGCCAAAACATAGTTCGTCCAGATAAGAGCACGCTTTTCAGTGCTGTAGAATGCTGCCAACAAACAGATGTCCAATTAAGGCTTAACATAAACCAACCCAAAAACCCAGAAAAAAACAACCAGAGTACAGAGCTTCAAGACGGACTTGGAAATTACTGAACTGCTTCGTTTCCTGAAAAGCTTTTCATCACTGATTTTTATCCCTCAGGGGAGGGGCAATCACCTCCCAGCCTTACTCCCGAGTTGCCCGTTCTGCTTCAGCTGCTCTCACCTTCTAGCAGCTCTGTGCACACGCGCACTGGGAACAGGCTCCCTGGGGTCCTCTACTTCACTGCTGCCAGACTCCGAAGGCAGCATCCCACTTCCAGATGGTCCTAGCCCCATCCCTGCATCAGATGCAGGACCCTCATCCGAGTCCTCTCCAGACTCCCTGACTGGTCCCCTTTCGTCCTCACTGTCCGACACCTCTGCCGTTTGCACCTGCTGCTGGCGAACCACAACACTGTGTGTCACATGTGACATGTATGGCATAGGTTCATAGGTTGCAATGTCCTACCTGTCAATGAATACTTCAGCTTCAACCATAACAACACAAGAGCACACAATAGATACAAACTCAAAGTAAACCGCACCAAACTTGATTGCAGGAAATACGACTTCAGCAATAGAGTGGTCAATGTCTGGAATACTCTACCCGACTCTGTAGTCTCTTCCCCAAACCCCAAAAACTTTAACCTTAGACTGTCTACTATTGACCTCACCCCCTTCCTAAGAGGTCTGTAGGGGGCGTGCATAAGCGCACCAACGTGCCTACCGTCCCTGTCCTATTGTTTCTCTTATTCTTTTATTTTTCTTATATGTACCCATTTCATGTATTCACAACTATGTATACGCTTATACTTATTATCTTGTAAACAATTGGCAAATCAAATAAATAAATAAATAAATAAATAAATAAATAAATAAAGGTTCGCCACCACAGGTCTCCTGCTTGAGCAGTGGGTTTGACTAGAAGACCTCCTGGGTTCCCTCCAACTCTGTTATTCTGTTCTGTTTTCTTCTTATTTTGTCTAACTGGCAATATCTATAGAGACAAGGGGCCTGGCTATTAGCCCTTTGAAAGTCAGGGTTGAAGGCGACCTAGACTTCTATTCTCCCCTGAACACCAAACTAGCAGGGCAGCCTTCGCCCACAGCACTCTCTCTCACTCCCAAGAGGGAGGCAGCGGCAAACCTCTTCTGAAATCTTTCGAAGAACCTGCAGGTTCTTGGCAGTCACCAAGAGCCAGCACTCACACAAAGGCAAAAAGAAAAGAAAAAAGAAATAGCCCTTCGGAATTCCGCAGGTTTGCAGAACACCCCACCCCTAGGTTCACAAAATATATTATGGAAACAGCTCATAGTGGACACGAAAACATTATTAGTTAGCTTTTGAGTGGATAGAAAGGAATATGGAAAACAGAAATGAATGGAAGTCCTGCTTAGTTACCATTTAAGTTTATATGTATTTATCAATACGGGGTTATGCTGGTCAAAGACTGTAACTTAAGACTGTAACTTACTGCCATGAAATACAGGGATGCACAAAGATGATAATTAGCAGTACCATTGAATTAATGGGAAGGGAGCATAGATCGAAGTTTATTTTTATAGATTTCTTCAAATTATAAAATGTTAAAAAGTAGATCTTTCAAAATGTCTTCAGAGTCAGAATTGCACATTTACCTAATTATTAATTTTGCTTTGCTGGCCATGAGCTGTATCCTGTACAATAATATTACACACAATCACTATCTAACACCTATTTTCATGTGACACAGATCTCCTGCCTCCTGGGATGAAACAACCCTTGAAGACCTTGGGCCTCTTGCTTTCTACATAAATCACACGATCTGGGATTCCATTAACAAGGTAGGAGGAGCAGATGAACCTGCGTGCTGTGGTTCCGCCCTGAAGTCAAGATGGCAGCCACAATTGTGAAACTGAAGTGGTCACCATCTTAATCTCTATTCTCTCAGGGCTGAAGAGAATAAGTGGCACAAGGCCATTCAACTGGCTCCATGCCGAGGGTGGGACAAGAACTCACAGTCTCCAGGTTTTTAGCCTGGTACATTAGCCTTTACACCAAACCATCTCTCTTCATTAAAAAAAAAGTGATGTATTGTCCCAATGGATGTTCTGTTCCTCAGGAAGAAAGGATGATCTTCTTCAGAAAGGTGATGGATGGATACAACAGCCAAAGAGCTTTTCCAAAGGCAAAAACAATCCTCTTCTTAAAATCGGTTGGATCTAAGGCTGCTTCCGCTCCTAGAACTAAACGGGCAACTGAAAGTAAGGGAACAAAAATTGGCCTCTTGGTCTGTTGTACATGCACACACACATATAGACAAGAATGGGAGATAATCCTATGAGAGTTGGAAGCACGGTATAAAAATAAATGCATAAGCAATTAAAATGCACTGAATTTAAAAGTATTCTCTTGGAAAATAGGGGGCTTGAATAGCCTAAGTAAAAAAAATGTACAGTAATATTCTGGTTATATAGTATAGTGAACTCATATCATTTTGTCATTCAGCATATTCTTCAATATTTTGCTAGCATTACTATTTTTTCCTGCAGTCAGATAGCTTTTTAACATCTTGTCAATATTATGGGTAGAAACCTGTAGTCAGCCTCACTCCCTCAGCAGGATGTCAGAAGCAGGGCCGCTGGGACAGAATAGACGCAGGAAGATGAAATATGGAGGATGATATCCCTCAGGAAAATGCCAGGACCAGCTGCTGTGCTGGGCAAAGAGAAGGATAGAGGAGGCCAGGGAAATTATATTAACAGATTTTAACAATAGATCAAGAGCTAGTAAGGCTCAAGGAGTGGGAGAACTGTAGGAGGGACTTCCACAAAAAAAGTCAAGGTGGTGACTGCAATTGTGCAATCAAAACCTTCCCTCTTTATGTGCATCACATGTGCAATGCATGCAAAAAGGAACTTTCTGTTATTCAGTTGTTGCCCCCATTTTGACTTTTAAAATCCCCCCCCTTCCTGGCACCTTTATCCATAAGTAGGTATTTCCTTAAAAATTTTGGGGAGGTCAGTTGTAAAACTAGGCTTAGCTGGTGCTACAGTTGGATAATAAAAATCTCTCAAACCATCATGTGATCAATTACAGTGTTAATCTATCATTTTTGTAGCATACACGGTTTGTTGTTACTTACCACATACATTAAAATTCAGAGGAAGGGCAGCCAAAGAAAAGGGCATTGGTGGGAAAGTATGAGTGAGGAGGAGGAAATGTTTGGGTGACTTGAAGAAAAGGTGAGACACTGAGACAGGAGGAGAGCGACAGAGAATTGGAAGTTGGGGCAACAGAGCCAAAGAGTTTTGGCTTTCAGAAGTCTTCCTTTCCCAAAATCTGTTCAAAAAGAAATGACTTCTTCCCTGTGACTTCTGCCCACAGCTTGCCGGTCTGCTCCCATCACCAGCAGCAACCTAGAAGATCCACTTTTCATAATTCGCTATGACAGTGCCCAGCAGTTGGATGCATGCCTGAGTGATGAAGTCGTGAAGGCCAACCTGGCTCTTCTGCTTGAACAACCCCTCCCGAATGACTACGTGGCCATAGTTAAAAAGAAGTTAGACAAGGTGAGAGGCCCAAGGACTTAGGAGGGGCTGAAGTATACCAGGGGTGTCTTCAGAGGGATCTCAAAAATTGAAACGGTAGCTGACATTGTATGATTGACACATTCACCCCATTTTGCATGCTTTGCATACCTGATGCATACAAGGAAAGGGTGAGGCTTAGATTGCATGGTCTCAGCCCCCGTGTTTTTGACACACACACACCCCGGGGCACCCTGGTCTCTAGTGTTGAATCTGGTGGTAAAGCTTAAGCTTAAGAAGAAAATGTAAAGAATATTTTTAAATTAATATTTAAATTAAAATTGCTATCAAGATAGTCATATAGCAAACAATAAATAAGCCAATAAGATTTAAACGTGATTTTTCAAAATTCTACTATATTCACTTTAAAATAACATTTTAAAACCATTTTAGAACTCAGGTATACTCAGGTATAAAATGAATACAGTTCTTGTTTTAATATCTAAAATAATGGGCTTCAAAGGAAGAATAATCACTTGTGTTGGAGATTCACAGCAGAAGTAGGTTTCAATAGAGTGCTTGAAAGTCTACTGAAGCATCAAGCAGCAGAATGGAGAACAAAATTACGCTGTCTTGGTTGCAGTTTGGCTAATAGGTTCACCATATTTGAAGAGAACATAGAAAAACTTCATTCCCACCCACACTCTTCCTTGAAGGGAGAAGGAAGTCTGTCTGTTTCCTAAGCACAGAAACTCATCCAACTAACAGGCCCCTGGGATTTCAATACAGTAATTGGGTTTAATGCCAGGACAAAGGGGCTCAGGGTGTAGAATCTTAGAAAGTGAGTAAGTCCTCACTCAGTCCTCAACTATTAGTTGGTTTCTTAAGGCACACTTGCTGAGTTGCTTCCGTTTCTTTACTACAAACTTTAACAGAGACTTTAAGCAGACAACATTGACACATCAATCTGTCCTTGGTCCTGTTTTGAAACATCTACTTTACTTTTGTAGTCCTCCCCCAGGGTTCCCCCCCCCCCCCACAAAGTGTGAAGAGCATTCTTGCCATGTGCTCCTTTTTCTACCATGACGATTAATTAAACCCCATCAACTCTTAGCAACTAAATACATATTTTCTAGAAGATCTGCTCTCGACCTGGGCTTTGAAGTGTCTCAATAGCACATTTCTTGAAGTTTTAATCAAGCCCTTCCACCTTGCTGCTGGTCATTCTTTTCTCCTCTTTTTCCAGCATTATATAGACTTCTCAAAGAAACTGGGTCTTTGCATAATGTGTCCAAAGCAGGGGAATTAATGCCTGGTCATTTGTGCCACATGGGATTTTTGGACTGTTCTATGATCCATTTGTTTGGTTTCCTGATATCTATGATTCACCAGCACCAAAATTCAAAAACCTCGATCATCTTTTGATCCCACTTCTTCAAAATCCAATTTTCACATCCACAGAGCATCACACACACCCCTTACATGGTCATTAATGAAACCTTTTTCTAATGAAGGCCCCCTCCCCTTTCTTAGAGCTACCCGGATGGGATTCCAGAAGATCAGTTGAGATTGCTTGGCTTCCTCTCACGTCAGTACAGCACAGATGAGATTGGCAGTTGGAACCTCACTTCCAGTGACACCCTGGCTGCTCTTCTGAATCCAAACGATGGTGCCTGGGAGATGCCACAGGTAGTGTATCCAAAGGGTCTCTTTAGCATCTAATGGCCAAACAGAATTGCTGTGAACTAGTAACAATGAAGGCTTTTTGTTTTCTTTTCATTTTAAGCCAGAGGTGTACTGAATGTTACTTTAAGTATACCACTTTTCTGACTACCTCCTTTACCTTTTTACACAAAAATGTGGCATTCTTATATGGATGCATATTGCAGATATGCAAATGTTAAATGGTCTTTAGATACCTCCTGCTCTGTAGACTACATGTGTCAGTCTGAATGAAAAATATATATATCAAAATTTAATTTTATCTCATTTCTTAGACCACATAGATTCTTCAGCATTTTTTTCTAGATATTTACCAGCCTCACCTCTTGTCACTGCTATGGACATGCATCCTTTCTTAAAATGTAACTTCTTTTCTTGCAGCTCAGGCGACTGGTTTCAAGATATATGGAACCGGGAGGCTCACTCACTGGTCCCTTATTGGACATGCTGGGAGGCAAATACCTGTGTTTTCTGGATGAAGAAGAGCTGCAGGAAATCAACCCAGCATCCATTAGGTACATTGCTGTTTCTTAGGGGGGAGGGTTGTTAACTAAAGGAGGAGGAAATGACTCCTGGGCCCAGTCTGGAAATGACAATGGAAGATGATTGGGGAACAATTAGCAAGTAGAATTGTCCACTTATTAGTAATTAGCAAGTTACTTATCTAAAATGGTATAGCTTCTCCTGCTTAAGCAGGGGGCTGGACTAGAAGACCTCCAAGGTCCCTTCTAGCTCATTCTATTCTATTCTAAAGAAGCATGACTCAAGTGAGGAACACGTATCCTGAGGAGATTAATTAGTAAATATGGCTGATGGCTGCTCTCATAGAAAAAATACAATATAAAACATACCAATACAAAGCAAAAACACAATAGCATTACTACTACTTCATCCATCCTACTATTCTTCTTCTGAGTGATGGCTGTCCTTATTCTTGATTATTCTAAGAAGATAGAACTTCATGATAGAAATGATAAATATGGTTGTGGAAAGGGAACTTCACGAAGACAGTAGTGTCACTCAAACAGGAAAAGCCAAAGGGGAATATCAGGCCAGCCATAAAACAAACTTACATAGGAAAAGGAATCAAATAAAAGGTATTAAAGAATCCCTATAGACAAAAGCCTAAGTAATTAAGAAAACTAGACAAATAAGAAAAGGAAACCCTTACGAACACAGGACATACCAAATAAGCAAAACAAACAGACAAAAGACACAAAAAATATAAATTACAAAAGAGACAGACAGGAGATTGCCACAAGACAAATATGAAAATCCATTATAAAGCTAAAAGAGATTAGGAAAAAACCCGATAATACAATATAACCGATAGTACAATCTAACTTGCCTTCCGCACCCCGTGGAGTTTGTCCTCCGGCAGGAATAAAGACAAACTCAAACAGGATTTGACACATTAAGCACAAATACAAACATTCACACGAAATCAACTCACAAAGGGAGAAAAGGGTATAAAAAACCAGGGACTTACCATAAGAAGCTAGCTAGCCCAGGAACGCAGACTTCTCACTGTCCCTCGCCTTCCTGAAAAATAAAAAGATCCAGCTTTCAAGCAGTTGTCCGTATCCTTGCGCCAGAGCTCTCCCAGTGGGAAAATCGAATCCTCGAAGGAAAGGCATTTTGACACCTTTCAACATGGTTATGCAGGAAATCCCTGGGTTACGAGAGTTCCCTTAGCGAACGTTTGAAGTTACATGATAAGCAGCCCCTAGTATTTACGAACAAGTCCCCAAATTATGAATATTGCAGGTACTTATTATCATATGTGGTGGACTTGTATGAAAGCTAGAAAATATTGGATGAAAATACACACATGGTTGGAAAAGATGTTTAAGGAACACACAGATTTGAAACCAGAAATATTTTTGTTGGGTATAATGCCAGAAGGATATGATAAAGGGACTGTATACTTAGTTTTGCATGTATTGACAGCTGCAAGGATTGTATTTGCACAATGTTGGAAAATGAGAACATCCCATAAGATGAGGATGTAATTCGGAAAATACTAGACTGTGCAAAGATAGATTGACATTAAAAATAAAGGACAAAGAAGGCAGAATATTACAACATGGAACAGATTTATGAGTGGTTAGAGATAAGAAGTAGAAATTAGGTGAAGAAAGATTATTGTTATCTATGAATTAAATACAAAGAGGGTTAATTATTATAAACATGTTGATATTACTAACAGAACTATAAGCTAATACAAACAAATTTAGTGAAAATTATTTTGCTACACTATCATTATTGTTATGAGTATATATGTTGATACTTCTGTTATTTTTCTCTTGCTTTTTCGTAAATAATGCATAAGTGCACCAACGTGCCTACCGTCCCTGTCCTATTGTTTCTTTTATTTTTCTTATATGTATCCATGTATTCATAACTATGTTTTTACTTATACCTATTATCTTGTAAGCTATTGACAAACCAAATAAAATAAATAAATAAATAATAAAAATAAAATGATATGCCCTGACAATACACTGTATTCAAAATGTTTATGAATAAAAATAAAACATATACTAAAATGAATAAATAAATATTTCGGAAATGTTCCTGGATTTTTTTGTAGAATCTCATTGACTAAGTCTGATCTCTTACATGTTAAATTCCTTAGGAGTGCTGAGAAGTTAGATATTTCCACTTGTGCTCAAGAGAAGAAGGATATCCTGTACCAAAAGGCCCACACTGCATTTGCCAACCAAGAAGAAACACGTGCCTATTATCCTCTTATCCAGCCATATCTAGGTACATTTGATAGGCTATTAAGGTGCTTCCATTCTTGCTGTTTCCTCCAGAATTAATTCACCTACTTTATCTTTAATAATCTGAAATGGGGGCACATCTAAAGATCATTTTACCCCCATTAGCATGACTATTCACAAATATTCACAAATTATATGATGCCTTCTCCAAAATGTCTTTCAGGCCCTATTTTCCTACAAAAATCCATTGTTTATCTCTAACAACTTTTGTGACTGGGCTTCCATTGTCTTTCATCCAATACTATTCTAGAACCATTTCAAAAGGAGTAAAATGGATAATAACGATGATCAAATCAAACTCTGAGAATATGGGGATAGGAAATTGATTAGACAAGAAGAAAATATGATGGGAATAATGGATTAACATGCATAGATTTATTAACATTTCAATGTTAATTATATCAACATTATTAAATGTAGAATCTTACAGGTTTTGGAAGAGGGGTGTAGAAAGTTCTTGTTTACATGATGGAAAGAGTAACTTATCTAGACACATCATCTTCCACCCCAACTTTAACCATTTTTTATTTAAATCAGCTTGGATTCAAGAAGGATTATCAAGAAGGATATGATGTTACCTTTCCCACAGAAATCTAACTCTTTTTTTGCCTTTTAAAGGAGGAGCTCCTGTTGAAGAGCTGAAAAAGCTGGCTAGATCTCATGTTGGAATGGATATTGATACATTTATTAATTTAAATCCGGAAGAAGTGAAGGTTAGTTCTGACATTGTGTCATATATTGAATATCCTTATATTCAAGGTTATAACGTCAAGGTTAGCAAGCCGCCCCCCCCCCGGTCCCCTGTCCCCCCAAAAGACCTGTCTAAAATCATAAAATTTTGGGGCGTTCTCATCCTGGGCAATATTATCCTGAGGACCTTGCATATATTTTCATGAACAGACTAAACTGTTGCAAGTGTCACACAAAAACATATCCAGCATCTTTGAAGGGCTTCTGGATGTGGAGGATGATATGAACCTATTGTGAGGATATTTCCCTAATTTGTTCCTTGGTGCAATTTATTTTATCAAGCGGCTTCAGAAAATTATTAGCATCCAAGGTAGAATAGGAAAGGCTGTTAAAAGTGTTTGAAATTTCACAAGTGTATTATGTAAATGAGAGCTGTATTTATAATGCTTTTTGGATAAAAGGAATGTAGAATATTTGGGGAAAGAAATAATCATTAACAGAAAAGCTGGCTGTGATGCTACTTCCTGAATCAGCAAAGGTATTGCAACTCTATTGCAGAAACTCCGTGTCCAGGATGTGAAAGATCTGCTTGGTGTTAATTTGCCCAACTTGACAGAAGTTGAAAACCACCCTTCTGTTGCCATGTGGATCAAGAACAACTTTCAGTCTGAACTGGATTCCCTTGGAATTGGCCTGGTTGGAGGCAGGGCGTCTGTGTTCTCCACTTCTATGGGCAGCACTGTGTCAAGTATATCTCTTAGTACAAAATCTGATGATGCATTCACTGCCACCTCCCCTGTTATCCCGATCATGGAATCAACCTTATCTAGCCCAGGCAACATCAATGTTACTACCCCTAGCACTCGTTCTGCCTCCTCGGATTTGAACCCATTCATTTCTAGAGGTGCTACTGAGTCCTATTCAACTCCTGTCTTCAAAATCACTTTTATGATTAATGAAATCTCTCCTTCCATTAACAATACCCAGACAACTTTTTCTGATACAATGCCTAAAGATGCTTTCCCCACCAATATCTCTTCCAGCGTTAGAGCTGATACTATGGATGGGAGAAGAAATACACTTGTCCCCACTGAAATTACAATAGATTCCAACAATACCACAACCAGTAGAACAGACTTTCCTGTAAGTGGAATCCCAGCCCCTTTCATTGCAAGAGGGATCAACGCAACGACTTCTAATGAACATATCATAAATTCTAGCAATGTCACCGGTAATAGCACAGCCGCTCCTTCTGTCCCCACGAAGTCCTTTGTTTCAGTCCCAACTGAAATTGTAGTTCCCTCTTTGAACATCACTGCTGCTTTCAATGAAACCGGTGGCACACCAGTCCCTCCCATCTCTACCATTGCCACCGATTTCAATAGCAGCACAGCCAGTAGAACAGTCCTTCCTTCTGTACCAACAGACTCAGTCACTGTTGTCCCCACCACTTCCTTAAATGTCACAGCTGTTTCAGATGGAACATTATTCCGTAGCCCTGCAAGATATCTCAACGCAACCGTCTTGAGTAAACTTGTAACAGATTCTAACAGTAGGACAGTCAGTGCCCCAGTTGTTACTACCACTCCCTTAGATTCCACCACGGTTGTTATCTTCAAAACCAGAGCTATTTCTTATAATGTTTCAGTAACTTCAAATTATACCATCAAAGACACTCTTTCCCCTTATAATGCAACAAGTAGCAATGCGATCCCTTCTGTTGAAACAACAGTAGCTTCTGATGGCAACACCACAAACAATGACCCAGCATTTCCTAGCCCTGTTATAGTTGGATATGGAACTGATGGTCTCAATGTAACTGTTTCTCACTCACCCTCTGTTGTCATAAACTTCACTCTTGGTGCAAATACAAGCACACCCAGAACTTACTTCACCTCTGTCATGTCCAGTATAACCAGAACATCTTCTGAGCGGCTTTCAACACCACCTAAGCACACACTGGCTACAAACCCAGCATTGGTCAGCAAAAACCCCATAACAATTACAGACAAACAGCCAACTGCATCAAGCAAAATGACTTTCCATTCCCAAGAAACCTCTCCCAAGACAGCTATTCCTCCACTATCCTCCCCAAATCGAACAACCTCAAAGGCGGCTACAGCTATCCAGAGAAACAGCAGCAGCAGCAGCAGCAGAGCAGATCTACCAACAAAACCACCTTCGTATCCAACTCCAAATGGCTACATTAATGTGAAACCACTAAGTGGTATGTATTTGTGTTTAATTATTTCTCAAGTTGCCTTTGTTGTACAGGAGGGTGAAACTTTTCAGTAGAGAAAATTGAGTAATTCTGGCATGAGATCTGAGATGAAAGTAAATAGATTTTCCTCAGGACAACAGAGATGCTGTGTTTAGAGCTATGGAAATAGCTCTGAAAAATAAGGCTTCCATTATTATTCTGGGTATATTAGCTGGATGAAGAACCATTCAATTTCATTAAAAGTTAACTATACATCACCTCTGTGAGATTGCGATTCACACGAAACACAAGACACGACACGGATCTTCAAACACGAGTTGATTTATTCGGTTCTGCAGAAGCGGGTTCACATCCAAGGCAGCAGGATGGAACCTCGAGCATAGTTTACTCAACATACTTATACCCTAGCCCCCGCCCCATCATACGATGGCTTGGTTCACAGATAGGAACACCCATTTCTTATCAGTACTTTCCAGGCTACCAACTGACAGTAAGTGGTTTTGGCTATTTCCTCTGGAAAAGTACTGAAGCTGCCTTTTGAAACACGCATACATATACAAAATGGATTCATATTGCTCTACTTCTTACAATCCCCCCTTTTCTGGATCATAACTGTTTCAAAAGCAATTAAGTCCTTATCAATTCTTTTCGAAATGGCAGTTTCATCCTCTCTATTATACAACAATTTTTCTGTTTCTTCTGGCTTACTAAATTTTATCTTATCACAGGCAGATATCATCATTTGCATCAAATTAGGCAAGCATTGAATACAACAACATAAAGCAATCAAGATTACTATAATTGTTATAACCGTTGTCAAAATAGATTTCCACCAACTACCATCTGGCAGCCAAGACCATAATGCATCCCACAATGAATCTGCTATTCCAGATTCATCCCATTGTTTCTGATACTCTTTCACTCTTTCTTCCATATCTTTTACAGTTCTAGTGATGTTTGGTTCATAATTATGTATATAGGTGCAACAATGTGAACGAACTAAGGCACACACTCCCCCTTTAGCAGCTAACACAATATCTAAAGCGAATCTGTTTTGCAAACCTACTTGTCTTACCTCAGATAATTCCTCATTAATCATCTTAATTGTTCTAATTGTGTCATTAAACATAGCAACTGTAAAATTATTTAGTCTGGTAATATCTCGATAATTCCAAGTGGGGCTATTAAAGCTCTGGCCGTACCCTCATACCAGGATCTATGATGTATTCCAGAATCTAACTCTCTTTTATTTCTAATTCGTGTATTTGGCAATTTATCTAATTTGTATATTACAGGTAATACAAAACCTATGGTGCAAGCACCTGACCATAGTTTTGGTATTTCTCTATAAGCATGTTTTCCACACAGCATCCATCTATTGTTTTCCATAGCCCAGGGCATGTTCTCAAAGTAAGCACACATCTGACAATAATATTTATACTTTGGCATATATTCATTCTTACATTTATAACTGGTACTTATACTATGATTAAGACATGTTTTAGGCATTTCCAATGTCTTGTTACACTTTTCCCAATCTCCAAGAAATGGTCCTCCAGTAATATTCCTTTTAAAGCCGTTTCTCTTAAATGAACAAATACTTTCCTAGTCATTTTTCTTTTTACAGGTCCAGTTTTTGTTTCCCCTCGTGGCACCATCATCTGTTGTGTTAGTGGTACCCCATGTAAAATCACTCCTTCTTTAGCTTTCCCAGGTAAATGCATACATAACCAACAATCAGTAACATTTAAACTCTTAGCCGTTGCTCTTATGTCTTGGATATAGCAATTATCCATCCAGAGATCTTCCCCAAGATCCCCTGCTCTCTGAACGTATCGAGATTGTTCAGTTTCTGCTTCCTCAACCTGTTGTAAGACAAAAACACTCACAAGTACAGTTGAAATACACAGAAACATATACATGATTTTATCTTTTAAAAGTCAGTTTCAAAGGTTGTCCTTCCACTGGGTGACTTCTCCAAGGCTTCTTAGGTTCTGGGGCCGCTTTCACACGACTGTAGTGAGTCCATCCACTCTCCTTCGTCCGGACAGCAGACTCAGTAGTCAGAAGCACTTGGTATGGTCCTTCCCAGCTGGGTTGCAATTTCTCAGTCCTCCAAGTCTTCACAAGCACCCAATCACCGGCTTCATAGGGATGTTGACTTCCTACTAGCGGTGGTCGCTGTGCCAAAAGTCCCTGTTTGTGAAGAGACAATAAAGACCTGGACAGTGTCTGCAAGTATTTTCTCACAAACATATCTCTGAATTCTGGTATGGGTCCCCCAAGGGTTGTAAGATATGGTCGGCCCATTAACATTTCAAAAGGTGAAACACCTACATCCTTCCTAGGACAAGTTCTAATTCTTAATAAAGCCAGAGGCAAATTCTTAGTCCAAGGCAGTCCATTTTCTAAATGCAGTTTTGTCAAATGTTTCTTAATTTCAAAGTTCCCATGTTCCACTTTTCCAGATGATTGAGGATGCCAAGGAGTGTGCAGATCCCACTTCACCCCTATCGCCCTCATTACTTCTTGGAGAATTTTCTGTGTAAAATGTGTACCTCTATCTGAATTGATTACTTCAAACATGCCATATCTAGGTATGATTTGTTCTAACAGAATTTTTGTCACCATAGAAGCTGTAGCTTGCTTCGTAGGAAAGGCTTCCATCCATCCTGTCAAATGATCTTTGACTACCAACAAATATTTCCATCCACCACTAGGTGGCAATTCAGTATAATCAATCTGTATCTTCTGGAACGGCCAGGCTGCTAATGGCCGTCCTCCTCTATCTGTCTTTTTGGATGCACTTTTATTTACTTTCAAACATATCAAACATTTCCAACAAATGGAGTGCGCTATTGTCCACATATCTAAACTCCAATAATGTGGTTTTATGGCTTGTACCAATGCTTGTACCAATGACTTCCCTCATGTAAATACTGCATCAGATTCCTCATTTGGGGTCCCGATAAAACTGGTATTCCCTTAGATGTAAACCATCCTTTCTCAGTTTCTTCACATCCCTCTTTCTCTAATTTCTTTCTATCATTCTCATCTGGTTTCCATTCCTCATGTGGCTCTTCTTCCAGCAAAGGAATAGACACCATTTGCAATATCAACTCTCCTGCTGCCTCCTTTGCCCACTTATCTGCCCATCGGTTCCCAACAACTTCTGGACTATCCCCTTTTTGATGTGTATTCACATGTACTATGGCTAGTCTGTGTGGCAACTGTAGACTAGCGAGTACTTCTTCGACCAATTGCAACTGCTCAATTTGTTTCCCATCTGATTTAATGAACCCCCTTTCTTGCCAAATTTTCCCAAATGTATGGACCACTCCCCAAGTATATTTAGAATCTGTCCATATAGTCACATCTATTCCCTCTGCCAATTCTAAAGCCCTTTTTAATGCAAACAGTTCGCATTTTTGTGCTGACCAGTTTGTTGACAAAGGCCCTTTCTCAATGACCTCTCCTTCTCCAGTTACTATGGCATATCCTGACCTTCTTACACCACTCTCTACTAGATCCATCAACAAACCATCTTTCACCTTCTTCTAAAGGAGTTTCTTCCAAGTCTTCTCTGACTTTTGTCATTAAATCTACTTGTAATAGGCAATCATGATTTTCTACTTCCCACTCCTTCCTTGATCCCTCCAAAAACTCAGCTGGATTCAAATTCTTGTCTGTCCCTATGACTACATTTGGACTAGTTCTCAAAATAGTTTCATATTTCAAAATCCTTCCCTCTGTCATCCAAGTGGATGCCAACTGACTCAAGACTGATGTCACTTGATGTGGGGAATGCACCACAAGTGCTCCCCCAAAGGTCAATTTTCTGCTTTCAACAACCAACACTGCTGTGGCTGCAACTGCTTGTACACAAACAGGCCATCCCCTCACAACTGGTTCTAACGTTTTGCTCAAAAAGGCAATGGGCTGATAACGCCCCCCCCTTTTCTGAGCAAGCACCCCTACTGCAACTCCTGATCTTGCAGAAACATACAAGTGAAAAGGAAGCTTCAAGTTAGGCAAAGCCAATACCGGAGCAGTGGCCAACGCCCTCTTGATTTCTTCCAATTTCTGCTTATCCCCTTCTGACCCCTTCTAATTTGCTCTTCTTTGCCTCTCAGTTTCTGATTCAAAAACTGAGCCAACACCGCATATTGATCTATCCATGCTCTACAATATCCCACCAATCCTAAAGCTTTTCTCACTTCAGTCCTATTCCTAGGAGGAGCTAGACTCATTATCCCTTTCACTCGTTCTGGATCCAATGACCTCACTCCCTGTTGGATATAATGTCCCAAATATTTCACTTTCTTTTCTACAAACTGAATCTTTTCTCTTGACACCTTCAATCCTTGTTCCTTCAACCAATTCAGCAAAGCTACTGAACTCTCTCTAACTTTTATTTCTTTCTCTCCTGATAGCAACAAATCATCCACATACTGAATCAAACTCACCCCTGGTTCCCTTGGAAATGTCTGTAACTTTTCTTCCAGAGCTTGTCCAAACAACAGGGGACTTTCTGTGTAGCCTTGAGGCAGCACAGTCCATCTTAACTGTTGCTTTCTTCCTGTCTCTGGATCATCCCATTCAAAGGCAAACAAGTCTCTACTCCCTTCTTCTAACGGGCACGCCCAAAAGGCGTCCTTCAGATCTATCACCGTAAACCATTTATCTTTGGGCGGAATACGCCCCAAGATAGTGTACGGATCAGGAACCACAGGAAACGTGGCACAACTATGCTATTGATAATTCTCAAATCCACCACCATTCTATACTTTCCATCTTTCTTCAAAACAGCCAATATCGGGGAATTGAATGGAGACATAGTCGGTTCCAGGAGATCTATTACCGGTTTCAATCCCTTTCTCCCTCTCTGACTCATGGAATACTGTGGAGTCCAACTCTTCACAATTCCAGGCTGCACCTGTATCTTAATGGGTTGGATTTTCATTCTTCCTACTTTGGCTCCTTCAGCCCAAACTTCATCTTCTATCTTTTCCTCATCTTCAGCTGTCAGCACACACATTCTCACGCCTTCTGTATTACATAACTGAAATCCAAACACTGGCATCAAGTCTCTTCCCAACAGATTCACCCCTGCATCTGGGATATACAACACTTTACTACAAACCTCTATCTCATCCATGCTCATTTCCACTCCTTCCAGAACTCTCACTCTATTTTGCCTTCCACTCACTCCCGTGACTAAAATAGTTTCTTTTCCTTCCATTCTCTTGCTTACAGGCTCGCATACAGACGTACGACTAGCCCCTGTATCTATCAGGAAAGTCATTTCCTGACGGTCTGGACCCACTTTTATATTTACCAATGGCTCCCCACGGGTCTCCTTAAAGGAGCCGGAACCTCCTTAGTCTTCGTATAGAGCGTAACTTCTTTCAGGGCGGCTGCTCTGACACTCGCGCGCAAAGTGTCCTTCCTTGCCACACTTGAAACAAGTACGATCCACACCTCCTCTACCTAGACCAGTTCCTCTACCTCTGAAGGGTCTTCCTCTGGGCACAAATCCCCTACCCCTTCCTCTAAAACCTTCTCCCATGGATTTCTTCACTTCATTCTGAGCAGCTGTTTGTACTGCTGCTAACATCATTTGGGATTTCTGTCTTGTCTTTGTCACTTCTCTATTCACAAATGTCTGTTGGGCATTCCGAATTAAATCTGTAATTCCTTGTCCTCCCCAATTTTCAATTTTCTGAATTTTCTTCTGAATATCCGGCCATGCCCCAGCCACAAACTGCATTTTCAACATAGATTCAAATGCAGGTGAGTTTGGGTCAACGCCCGAATATTTCTCCAAACTTTGTCTCAACCGGGCACAATAGTCCCCAGGAGATTCATCTTTCCCTTGTGAAATTTCAAAAGCTTTTGTCAAATTGCGTCCTTGTGGGACAGCAATTTTGATTCCCTCAATTACCATTGTTTTCAAATCTCTCATATTCTGTCTATCGTTTGCATCTTGAATATTCCAATTGGGAGGTGCCAAGGGAAACTTGACGTCTCCAGCAACTGCTTGTGCATTTCCCAATTGCAATACTCGCCAATATTCTATTGCTCCCTGTCTGATCAAATCTCTTTCTTCCCTACTAAATAAATGACCAAGTATGTACATTATTTCTTCATAGGTGTAATCATTCGGCCCCAAAAACAATTCCAATTCCTTTGATACTTTCTGTGGATCCTCATGAAGTTGGGGAAGTGACTGTTTAAGTTCTCTCAATTCCCCTGGCCTCATAGGCTGAATAGCGTACATAGCCACAGGTTGCCCCAAAGCATTTAGACCATTCGGTACTTCTCGCAAAGGGTAAGCCTGTACCGGCTGCGCTGGTGGAAAAGGAAGATTTTGCACGTTCCTTTCCAGATCCCTAAATTCTCTCCGCAAAGGCGCATGAGGCGCAGGTGGAGGGGAGGGAGGAATCGGGATGTTTGCTGCAGCAGCAATTACCTGCTGGGATCTGGAGGAACATACCGAGGTGGTGGACGATAGAATTCATCGTCCGATTCCGGATTTTTGGTTTTGGACACAAATTGATCAGCCGGTGGCGGGCTGGGTCCTTCAAAATTTACATGGTACCACACCTCAATATATGGAATTTCAGCATTCTGTTTATGAGCCAATATATAATCTTTCAATTGATTCATCCAATATATACTGGTCTCTCCCTCCGGAGACCAATGATATGGAAATTTAGGATCAATTAGGGGATATTTCGGCCACCTGTATTTGCACAAATAAATCATGTGCTTCTTTTCAAGATTCCGGGTATAATGTTTCAGATTCGGGGAAAACCATTGTTGTAGCAGTTGTCCCAACGGCGAATCCACCGGAATAGGTTTTCTGCCTTCTTTGTCTGTCTCTCCTACGTTAGCCTCTAAGTCTTCCCTCAACTCCTTACTCTGTCCTTTTCCCATTTTGTCTTCCCTGACCTATCCTCCAGCAAGCGCTGGACTCTCAGCTTCGTTGAGAATTTAAGGATCCCTCACTCTTATTCCTACCGAAACACTTTAAAAAGGAACAGTATTACCTGATCACTCAGAAGACCTCTCTCAGGTTTGCGGATGTGTGGGCGTCCCCAACTCAGGTTTCTCCGTGGTCCCAGACCACTCTGGCTATTCTCGGTACCGTCTTTTCTCTCACACCCGGTGAAGTCCGTTCGTGCGTCTCTCTAGGTTTTCTGGTTCGAGGAGCCTCCTGGAACCTCTCGAGAGTCGGGGAGGGTTTATCTCACAAAGGGAGATAGAGTGGCCACTACTCACCGGTCCCCGAGACCCCGAGGGTCGCCGTGAAGGCTCCTGGCTGGCTCGCCAATTGTGAGATTGCGATTCACACGAAACACAAGACACGACACGGATCTTCAAACACGAGTTGATTTATTCGGTTCTGCAGAAGCGGGTTCACATCCAAGGCAGCAGGATGGAACCTCGAGCATAGTTTACTCAACATACTTATACCCTAGCCCCCACCCCATCATACGATGGCTTGGTTCACAGATAGGAACACCCATTTCTTATCAGTACTTTCCAGGCTACCAACTGACAGTAAGTGGTTATGGCTATTTCCTCTGGAAAAGTACTGAAGCTGCCTTTTGAAACACACATACATATACAAAATGGATTCATATTACTCTACTTCTTACACCTCCAAGATTTGCAGAGGAGACCCTGGAGGCAAATGGCCAAAGAGACATTTCAGTGTTGGCAGGTGCCTCTTGACATGCAGGTAAGTAGAAAAGCTTGTTCATTGTTCACATTGCCTTCTTGTGGCTGAGCTCATGTGAGGCCTTGAGAATGGATAGCAATGAAGATATATGCGTGATGGCAAACCTATGGCACGTATGCCACAGGTGGCACGCAGAGCCATTTGTGCGGGCACGTGAGCCCCAGGCAAACTTACCTCATCACACGTGTGTGCCTCCCACCTGATTTTTGGCCTCCCAGAAGCTCAAGCCTCTGCAGTCTTTGGAGGCCAAAAACCAGGTTTGTTTTGTCACTTCCTGTATTTCTGGAAATACCGGAAGTGATGAAACGGGCCTATTTTTTGGCCTCCAAAGGCTGCAGAGGCTTCCCTCGAGTTTCTGGAAGGCCGAAAAAGCAAACAGGCCAAAAATCAGCTGGGAGGTACAGTGCGGGTGGGTGGGGGGAATTGCGCATGCACGCGCAGGATCCTTGGGGGGGCGCACGCATTGCCTTCTGGGTGCTAGCACGCAAGTGTGCATGCGCGAGCAATTTTTGGCACAGGAGCCCAAAAAGTTTAGCCACCACTGATATATGCCTTCTGGGACTGCCCTGTACTTTCTTCCTCCTCCATACAGTCGGAAGGCAAATACAATTCTTCAGTCAGTTCTCTGCCCCTCCCATAGTTTGGGGCTGTAACTCTGAATTGGCTGTGGGAACTATCTGCCGAGGACCAGGAGTGGTTGACCAATCTCATAAACCTAAACTAAATCAGATTAGATCTAATTAGGGTTTCAATGAAAGATCAACAGGGAGTATTAGAGATGTAGGCTAGAATGTTTTTTTTTTAAATCCCAAAGATTATAATACTTCCATATTGAAGCATAGATAACATATCTTGTGCTATCAAGTGCTCAGTTTGAAGAAGAATTTATCTTTAGTATCAGATTTCTCCTGTAACAATTTAGACTAAAACAGTTAATCCTAAAGAATTATTAACTGCTCACAAAAGAAGAATTCCAGCAAGCATATTACTTTCAAGTAAGAAGCCTCTATATCAGGGCTTCTCAACCACACTGGCTAGAGAAATCTGGGAGATGAAGTCCACACATCTTAGAATGACCAAGGTTGAGAAACTCTGGTTTATATAGACAAAGTTCTAAAGTGATTTTTCCTCCTGTTCTCTTTCCTTCTGTTTTTGATTTGGAGATGGTGGCTAGATTTTTTTATCACCAGCTCTCATGTTCATTTCCATTCAAGTGAAACTCATCTGAACACCCAGAACAGAGAGAGTTCAAGGACAGCCATGTTGTCTACTTGTTTGCAAACCCAACTGTGCTCAGGTGGCTGCTTAAAGAACAACTTTGGATTCTGAAATGCAAACAAACATCCATTAAGTTATAACAATACTTTCTGTTATATAAATCTTTATCTGTAATTTCATTTCACCCTTCTATAAGGAGAAATATGAAGAACCTCCAGATCACTGAAAGTGATATGAGCTTACATATAGAAGATTAGGTTGTAATGGGATATCAAGAAATAACTGAGAAAATATACAGGAGGAGGCATGACTATGGATCTACTTCTCCCTCACTTTTTTGGGACAAGACCTTCATCTTGGTTAAAACTGAGAGGGGGTAAGACATGCTATTGCTTTAAAAGCCAAGATGCCAGGCATGGATTTAGCTAATCATAGCCATAATGCTGCCTGGTTCATTGCACTAAACCACAGATGTTAATTATAATTTGTTGATAAATTATGTTTGGATGACTTCAGACATCATGCTTATCCATAAACAATGAGCTGCAAACTTCAACGATCAGTTCATCTATTGCATTAAACCCAAAGAAGCAAACCACATAATGACTCCACATGATCTATGAATCCAGCCACAGTAACTTTTTATATTATTTGTACTGTGAACATGATCTAACCATTGTTCTTGAATCTGAGCTTGTATTGAGTAATAGTCTTAAAAGAGCTTAAGTCCCTTAAAATGCAAGGAACAGATCTTGATTCCTCTTTATTTTCTCCATGCAGCATCAGCTTTAAACACATTACTCAGTTGGACAGTTCTGGCAGTGTCTCTCACCATTGGAATCCCAATTCAGAAGTTTCTCTAAAAATATGGTTATCTCAACCCCACCTTAACAATTATTGGTGATGGTATCCGTAATACTTTCAAAATTCTACTGCAAAAGCCATATGGACTCTTGGAAAGATATCAGCGCTACGTAGACTATGTCTAAGTGGACAGGTGTCAAACTTTATATAGAAAATCATTGCACCATTATTGCTTGAAGATGAAACTGCATTTATTGTCCCTTTCCTGTGCCCTAATTGGTTATATTAGTTGAACATAACATGGTCATATTTCCAATGCATGGAGATGCTACCTTTCCACTGGAGTTTCTCAGTTCTGAGTGGAAGCAACTTGAAATTTATTTTTTCAGCATCTGTCTTGGCACCTGGAGTTTAGCAGCAGCAGCAAAACTATTTGATTCCCAGCAAAAAGAAGAAAAGGACTATTGATTCAGATGGATTTTCTAGATGTACCAACTGACTGTATCCTGCGTTGGAGACCGGCTTCAATAATTGCAGGTGGTCCTTGACATGGCCACAATTGAGCCCAAAATCTCTGTTGTTAAGTGAGACATTTGTTAAGTGAATTTTGCCCCATTTTATGATCTTTGTTGCCATAATTGTTAAGTGAATCACTGCAGTTGATAAGTTAGTAACCTGGTTGTTAAATGAATCTGGTTTCCCCATTGACTTTGCTTGTCAGAAGGGGATCCCATGATCCTGGACACAGCAACGGTCATAAGCATGAACCAGTTGCCAAGCACCTGAATTTGGATCACATGTTCCTGGGGGTGCTACAAAGATAAGTGTGAAAAATTGTCATAAGTTACTTTTTTCAGTGCTGTTGTACCTTTGAATGGTCACTAAATGAACTAAATCAAAGAGTATCTGTACTGCCAAAGATCTAAGCAAATGCACATCTCTAGTCCAGTATTTGATTCTGAGGTTGTTTGCTTTATCTCTTTTATGAACACTTCTGGTTTGTCCATGTTGAGAAAATGCTTAGCCTCTCAGCAGAATGTTATGTCACAGCCAGCTGTGGTCCTGCTGTTTCATAAGGTATATGCGGGAAAGAAGATTGCCCAAGTATTTGAGGGCTGGGATTATTTGACACCACAATTCTCTGGCTTTTAGTGCTCTGATGATATCTCCTCGGATGTCCCTTGCCATTTACTAGCTTCAAATTTCAAACCAGTTATTTTTCTCAAATTGATCTGGAAGCAATCATTCGTATCCTCTGAATTTTGCATCATCACAGAAGAATTTAAATAGAACTTTTCATCTTGCAATTAAGTAATTAGAGTTTAGTTAAATCACGGCTGCAGACTGCACAGCCCTGGAACTGCCTGCCCTATTCAGGTTTTGATAAATTGTATGTTTTGGCAAGAGAAAAGAAATGTTCTTAAATATATAGGGAATAGTTGTATAAGATAGATTCAATTATTTTCATTTCAATAAGCTTACTTTTTAAATCATTTAGCCGTATTCTGGCCCTGCCCACTCATCTTAAGTAGAGTCCCTAATGTGTCTGTCACTCAAAGTCCAAATGCATGCTCAGATACTCCCTTCTGCATCCCCAAAGATTGTGCATTTGATTGTGCATCACAGGAAGGATCTGATCCTCATGAAAACGAAGTTTGGTTAACATGAAATGGATTGGGAGTGAGGGGAGGCAGGAATGGGTGTTTCCCACAAATTCCATATACTGAAATAGCATTTTCTCACAAAAATCTGCCAATCAGATGGCTTTAGTTATGCACCTGGAAGCTGTGCATTTATGGGATTTCACTTGAGTAATTTAGTCCAGAGGTAACTGAAAGCACATTAGGATATATGTTCTGAAATGAATATAGTAAACCATTTAATCTCACTTTACTGGCTGCTAGGCTCCCAGATTTCCCTCTTCCTAAATCATTCACACTTGTGACTTATATGTTATATTAATCTTTATATTGGTGATTGGATTTAAAGTTTATACTTCCCTATTTGCTGGAATGATTTGTTAGAGCTTCTAGGTTGATCAAATGTCCTTTGTATTGATGAGGCTGTCCCAAGAGAAATGATAGAGGGCCACTTCAGAGAGCCAATGGAAATGAGATTAGTGCCAAGGGAATTTCTACATGAAGAGTGTCTCAAAGAGTAATGACTGTATTTGCATGACACCTTTGTCAGAGTAAAACATATCTATTCATGGTTAACTATTAATCTTAATTTGTATGACTCAGTCTCTCTTTCTCTATCTCAAGTTAAGAGAACAGCAGCTAAGATAATTAAAGGTCTGGAGACCTAAATATATGAAGAATAGCTGCAGGATTTGGCTATGGCTAGTCTAGAGAAAAGGAGTATGGGTGACATGGTGGCTGTATTCCATTATTTGAGGGGCTGCCAAGGGGGCAAGGGGGGGTGTAAAATTATTCTCCAAAGCCCCAGAGGGCAGGACAAAGAGAGAAGCAACCTGGAATTAAAGAGAAACTTCCTAACAGCAAGGACAATTAACCAGTGGAACGGCTTGCCCTCAGAAGTTGTGGATGCTTCATCTCTGCAGGTTTTAAAGAAGAAACTAGACAGTCACTTATCTGAAATGGCATAGGATCTCCTGCTTGAACAGTGGGCTGGACTAGAAGACTTCCAAGGTCCCTTCCAGCTACCCCACCCCATCCCATCTGTTAGCCTGCCTGGCAAGTTCCAGACCCATCTGCAACTGTTTTGTTTGTTGAAGGTGGTTGGACTGTTTTCACAACAGTAGCCAATCCAGCTTTTGTGTATTGCTTGGTATTTCTTTCCCTCCTTTCTTTCCCTAACAGATTTAAATTGTTTAATATTTCCTGATTCTGGCACTCAGCTTCAACCCATCCCCTTCAACTCTATGATCAGCAGAGTCTGTAGATCACACGACTCATACATTTCTATGTGAAGATTTGGAAAGCAGGTTATTGTCAATTCTGCATTATCCCTAGTGTATGTTCTTGAAAACAAAAACTGGTTGGAAAAATATTGTGATAGAGAAAAACCAAATTCAGATACTGGAAAAGCAATATCATATATATCTATGAAGACCTAAATAATTTTTGTCATTGTTGCCAAGAAAGTTCAATACTTAGTGTATCCTTTCCCTCCATTTGTCTTTCTTTCCAACTGTCCACATCCTCCTTTGCTTGTTCAGATGCCTGGTAACCCTAGGACAGAGCTCCTCAATCTTTCTGGCTTTGCGGGCCAGCTGGGGGTGGGGGGAGGGGATGGGTCTGCGCAAGTGGCATGCACGCACACATGTGCATGCAGCTGCATTTGGAGAGCGTACACACGCACACATGTGCATGCGCACTGCCAAATGGAGAGCGTACACACATGCTCACCCACCATTTCCGTGCCCCACTTCCAAATAGCTAAATGCCTATTAGTAGCCCCCTGCCCTAGGATGCCCTAGGTGGGAGTTAAGGGTAATAGTAGCTAAGGCTGTCTCTTTCTTGTTTACCTCTGTCTAGGTAAATTTACAATAAGAATTTATTGTGTAGATGTCTCCATTTTCTCCTCATAAAGTTAACCCTCCAAAACGGCATCTGTGAGTGTGTGCTTCTATTTTGGAGATTAAAAAAAGTAGGATCAAACATCCTCAAACAATAGATTTATTCACTTTTGTTTGCACAAGTAGCTCTTCACTTGCAGAGATGAACTCGAATAGGTGGTGCCCGGTTGAAACAAGAAGCCAAACGGTCACGTAGCAGAAGGTGCACATTCAGCGCTCATCAGCCTTATTTCTTATGCCCTTGCAGAAACAAATCATATCAGAAATAAAAATCTGGTCATTGACAAATACTGTATGAATTTTTAGTACAGCTCTGGAAATTAGCCTAGAGAAATGGGCTACAGTAGCAATAAAGCATGGTAAACTCATGAACAATAATGGAATTGAGATGCTGAGTGGCCAAATCCCCAGGAGCGAATGGGGTGAAGCCTACAAATACCTGGGCATTTTACTGTTGGATAACATCAAGCATGGACAAGTTAATATTGTGATTAGTAAAGAATATATCCAAAGAGTGAGAAAAGTGCTAAAAATAAATCAAAGCTATCAACACTTGGGCCATACCTATGATACAATACCTTGCTGAAATTATTCTCTGGACTGAAATGGACATTTGGACCAAAAAAATAAGAAAACTCTTGACTATTGACTTTCATTGTCATAATAATTTCTCCAATAATTCAACTATCTTATATCGAATTCCATCATTGGAAAGTATACCCATGCTACACTACCTTGAGGATCCATGAAGTAGATTTGAATAAACCTGGCTTTCCGGTTGGGAGTTTGGCATTAAACATCCACTATAAGGATACATTTTCCCTTGAATATCACAGAAGGAATTCTTGTTGGAAGGAATAACAGAATAACAGAGTTGGAAGGGACCTAGGAGGTCTTCTAGTCCAATTCCCTGTTCAAGCAATCTGCTGTCCAATCTCTTCTTACAAAACCTCCAGCAATGGAGCACCCACAATTTCTGGAATAAAGCTGCTCTCTGTTAATTGTTCTCCCTGTCAGGAAATTTCTCCTTAGTTCCAGGTTGCATCTCTCCTTGACTAGTTTCCATCTGTTGCTTCTTGTCCTGCCTTCTGGTGCTTTGGAGAATAGGTTGACACACACCCCCTCCTTCTTTGTGGTAGCACCTCAAAATATTGGAACACTGCTATCCTGTCGCCCTGCTCCTGTTGCACTTCTCTGCATTCTTTCCAGAGTCTCAATATCTTTTTTATATTGTGGTGATCAAAACTGGATGCAGCATTCCAAGTGTAGTCCTACTAAAGCATTATAAGGTGGTACAAATACTTCAGGTGACCTTGGTTCTATTCTTGTGTTAATGCAGCCTGAAGTTCTTTTGGCTTTTTTGACTGTTGCCACACACTGCTGGCTCCTGGGACACCAAGATTCCTCTCACTGTTACCGGTATTGAGCCAGGCTCCATCTATTTTATTCGTTTTTTCATTGTCTAAGTGAAAAACTATATTTTTTCTCACCATTGAATTTCATTTTGTTAGCTAGAGCCCAGTGTTAATGTCTGTGGAGATTCTTCTGGATCTTGAGCTTTTCTTCTGGGGTATTGGCTATTCCTGCCAGCTTGGTGTCATCTGCAAATTTGATGAGTTCCCCTTCTGTTTTCTCATCTAAATTGTTTGTGAACATATTGAAGAGTAGTGACAGAACCTTGGGGTACCTCGTTGCTTATTTTCCTCCATGTAGACCTCCATGTCTATTAAGGATTACATGTTGATTGCAATTTGTCATCCAGTTATGAATCCATCTGGCCGAGCCAGGCCGTTCATTTGAGGAGGGTCTCCCCACTCGTGTGCACCCTCCTAGCCCCACCACAGGGGGTCGTGAGAGGGGAGGAGTGTCACCTGAAGGGAAGCCTCCACCTCGGCTTGCACTCGTTCTTCAGTCAGCCCGGATTTCCAAAAAGTTGCCAAGAAGAAAGAAAAGGAGTAGCGAAGAGCCCCAAGGAGAGCTCACCAGCTTGGCCCAGCCTTGGCTTTCCAAAAGAGAGAGAAGAGATGCAGAGACAGAGACAGAGAGAGAGATACAGAGATACACAGAGAGAGAGAGAGAAATAGAGGGAGGAAGATAGGGAGAGGGGGGAGAGAGATACAGATAGATGGAGAGAAGGGAGAGAGAAAAGGAGAAAAAGAAAAGGAGAAATTAGAAAATGATGGAGGGAGAGAATGAGAGGAAAAAGATATGGGAGAGAAGGAGAGGGAGAGGGAGAGAAATGAGAAATGAGAGAAATGGGGAGAAAAAAAAAGATGAGAAAATGATGGGAGAGAATGAAAGGAAAAAATGGGGGAGAGGGAGAGAAATGTTTTCTCATTTCTCTCCCTCTCCCCCATTTTTTCCTTTCAGAAAAAGAAATGAGAATGATGGAGGGAGAGAAATGAGAGGAAAAAGAAACAAATGAGAGAGAGAGAAGGGAGACAGGGAGAGGGAGACAGAAATAAGAGAGAACTGGAGGGAGAGAGGGCAAGAGAGGAATACAAATGAGACAGGGGAGAGAAAGAAAAAGGAAGAGGGAGGGGACCAAGAAAAACAAATGGGAGAGAGGGAGAGAGAGAGAGAGACCCATTTCCCACAAAAATCAGGGACCCACAAAACCTGGATAGGTGTGGCTGGGGGGACATGTGACTAGGTGGGAGTGATGTTGAGTTGGCCACGTCCACCCAGGTTTTGTGGCTCCCGGTGTTTTCTGTGGGAAACGGGTCCAAATGGATCTTTGAGTGTTTAAGGTTGCTGACTCCTGTTCTAGGTGTTCACAGATCTGTTGCTTAATTTTCCAGGATCTTCCCAGTTATTGATGTCAGACTGAGTGATCGGTAGTTCCCTGGATCTAGTTCTTCCTTTTTTTGAAGATGAAAATCACATCAGCTCTTTTCCAGTCCTCTGGTTGGTGTTCCGGGATCTTTGAAAGATACGGTTCAATGTTTCCAAGAGCATAATCCATCTGGTCCTGGTGATTTGAACCTCCAGATGGACAGGGGTTCTCTTACCATTTTCTTGCTTATTTTAATTTATTCCAGTCTTGTCTTTTTCTGGTAGGTTGGGCTATTTTTTCTTTTTGCGTGAAAAATTAAGCAGCTCTGCTTCCTCCCTACTCCCCATCACTTCCTTGCCATCTTTTCCCATTAATGAAAATATTGTTTTCTTGACTTTTTTCTTGTTTTTTTACATGTTGAAAGAAACTTTTTTATTGTTATTTTGACATTTGTTGCCAGCCTTAGTTCATTCTGAGCCTTAGCTTTCCTGACTTCATCCTTGCAGATTTAGGCTATATGCTGGTATTCTGCCTTAGTTATGTGTCCCTCTTTCCATTTTAGTATATATCAGGATAACTTTTTGTCTTTCAGTTTATCATAAAGTTCTTTGCACAACCATGCTGGTTTCTTTTTGGATTTCTTTTTCTGTAGTATTGTGTTGGCCTGGGCTTTTATAATCAAATTTTTCAGTTTCCCAGGCTTCTTTGTTTTCCTCCTTAAAATTTTCACCTGTGGAATCCTTCCCAAAGCTCTTTCTAATTTTGTTGAAATCAGCCTTTTCAAAGTAAGACACTGGTTTGATTATGTTCTATTGCATGTGTCAATTGAATTCCAATGTGACATGGTCATTCTCACCCAAAGTTCCTGCAACTTCATCCCTCTCTATCATTTCTTCTATGTTAGGACTAGAATAGCTGATGCTCTAGTTCCCTGTTCTACCTTTTGGATGACAAAGGTAAGTTGGTCAGGAATCTGTTCAATCTCCCACTTGAAACAGAGTTTGAGGGGGGGAGGGAAAACTACACAAGACCACCATGATTGCACAAAGAGCTCTCTGACAAATTAATGGACAAAAAGGTCAAATATAAAAAATGGAAAGAGAGGCACATAATTAAAACAGAATACCAACAAATAGCCCAAATCTGCAAAGAGGGAGTCGGGAAAGCTAAAGTCCTGAATAAGCTAAGTTTGCAATTAATGCCAAAAATAACAGAGTTGGAAGGGACCTTATAGGTCATCTAGTCCAACCTCCTGCCCAAGAGGAGACCCTACACCATTTCTGACAAATGGCAGTCCAATCTCTTCTTGAAAGTCTCAAGTGATGGTGCTCCCACAACTTCCAAGGGCAAGCTGTTCCATTGGTTGATTGTTCTCATTGTCAGAAAGTTTCTCCTTATTTCCAGGTTGAATCTCTCCTTGATCAGTTTCCATCCATTATTCCTTGTCTGGCCTACAGGCGCTTTAGAAAATAGCTTGACCCCCTCCTCTCTGTGGCAGCCCCTCAAATATTGGAAGACTGCTATCATGTCTCCCCTGGTCCTTCTCTTTACTAGACTAGCCAAGCCCAGTTCCTGTAACCGTTCTTCATATGTTTTAGTCTCCAGTCCCCTCATCATCCTGGTTGCTCTTCTCTGTACTTTTTCTAGAGTCTCAACATCTTTTTTTATAGTGTGGTGACCAAAACTGGATGCAGTACTCTAGGTGTGGTCATATAAAGGCTTTATAGAGTGGTATTAGTACCTCCCTTGATCTTGATTGTATTTCTTTGTTAATACAACTTAGGATTGTATTGGCTTTTTTGGCTGCTGCTGCACACGGCTGTCTCCTATTTAACTGGTTGTCCACTAAGACTCCAAGATCCCTCTATAACAAAGTCATTCTTTTAATATGTAAGGCACAAGAAGGAAGTCAAGGAAACAGTAAGTCCACTAATGGCAGCAGAGGGCATGAAGGTGACCGGCAGCAGAGAGAAAGCAGGACTGCTTAATTCCTTCTTTGCATCTGTTTTTACACAAAAGGAAGAAATAGCCCAACCTATCTACCCTGGACCAGATGGTTTCCATCCCAGGGTTCTGAAGGAGCTGACAGACGTTATCTCGGAGCCACTGAGTGTAATCTTTCAGAGCTCCTGTAGCACAAGGGAATTACCAGAGGATTGGAAAACAGTTGATGTGGTTCAAATCTTCAAAAAGGAAAACAATGGATCCAGGAAATTATAGGCCAATCAGATTGAAATCAATAACTGTCAAAATTCTGAAAAAGATAATCAAGCAGAGAATTTGTGAGTACCTAGAAATGAACAAGGTTACTAGATTACTAGAAACCAGCATGGGTTTGTTAAAAACAGATTATGCCAGACAAGCCATATATTCTTTTTTGAAAAAGTGACTAAAGTCATAGACAAGTGAAATGCTGTGTGTCTGTACTTGGACTTCAGTAAAGTATTGGACCCATAGTCTACTTCTTGATAAGATAAAAAAATGTGAGATAGAGAATTCCATCACCGGATGGATTCATAATTGGCTGACCAATTGGACTCAGTGTGTAGGCTTTAATGAAGCTACACCCTACATGGAGGGAAGTATGCAGGGGGTATCCCAATGTTTTGTCTTGGGCCCGATAGTCTTCAGCATTTTCATAATAATAGAAGGGAAACTCGTCAAATTTGCAGATGACAGAAATTGTTGGGAATTGCTAACACTTTGGAAAACAGACTCAAGAATTTTGACAGATTTGAGCATTCAACAAGATGCAGTTTGGTGGTGAGGAAATTAAGGTTCTGCAGATAGTCTGGAAAAATCAAATGTGTTGGTACAGAATAGGTGGCAACTTGGCTCTATAGTAGTAACTGTGAGAGAGATCTAGGTGTCTTAGTGGAGCGGTCCTCAACATTTCCAACTTGGCAGTTTAACCCAGTGTGGGCGGCAGTGGTATGTGAGTGGCAGGCGTACACATGCACGCACACATGGCTCCATTTGTGCAAGTGATGCATTCATGCACCCTCCACTTGCATGGATGGAGTTTCCCTGAAAATACAACTTACCCTGAAAAAAAGTCTTAGCTTGTTTTTTACACGTGTGCCCAATATAAGCCCTACCCCCAAAATAAGCCCTAATTAAGAACCCGCCCACTCCACAGTGCATGGGCAAAAATTAAGCTAGGGGGGTGGGGGGGAATGGAGCTGCCCTATTACTTCCCTTTGGACAGTTGTAACCAGGCCTTGCACATCCCAACATCTGCCATTTCTTCTGCAGCAAGTCTGGCAAGACTTTCCTGAAGGCCTCAGGAGCTGATAACAAAGCTCTGGATTGATCCTTCAGAAAAGCCTTGCTGGCCGCAGCAGCAGAAGTTCCTGAAGGCCTCTGACCACGAAAAGGAGGCCGGGGGCAACACATGCAAGTGGGGTTAGTCAGTGGATGATGCCCCCTGAAAATAAGACTTGGTGCCTTTTTTGGTGGCAAAAAAAATACAAGGCAGGCTCTTATTTTTGGGGAAACATGGGTAGTGGACCACCAGTTAAATATGAGTCAGGAATGTATTACAGCTGCCCCCCCCAAAATCAAATGTACACTGCTCAAAAAAATAAAGAAACAGACTCCATGAGGGTGGTATGAGGGCCAACATCCACAGGTAGGGGTTGTGCTTACAGCCCAACACTGTGCAGGACATTTGACATTTGCCAGAGAACACCAAGATTGGCAAATTTGCCACTGGCGCCCTGTGCTCTTCACAGATGAAAGCAGGTTCACACTGAGCACATGTGACAGACGTGACAGGGTCTGGAGACGCTGTGGAGAATGTTCTGCTGCCTGCAACATCCTCCAGCATGACCGGTTTGGCAGTGGGTCAGTAATGGTGTGGGGTGGCATTTCTTTAGGGGGCCGCACAGCCCTCCATGTGCTCGCCAGAGGTAGTCTGACTGCCATTAGGTACCAAGATGAGATCCTCAGACCCCTTGTGAGACCATATGCTGGTGCGGTTGGCCCTGGGTTCCTCCTAATGCACGACAATGCTAGACCTCATGTGGCTGGAGTGTGTCAGCAGTTCCTGCAAGATGAAGGCATTGATGCTATGGACTGGCCCGCCCGTACCCCAGACCTGAATCCAATTGAGCACATCTGGGACATCATGTCTCGCTCCATCCACCAACGCCACGTTGCACCACAGACTGTCCAGGAGTTGGGGGATGCTTTAGTCCAGGTGTGGGAGGCTATCCCTCAGGAGACCATCCGCCACCTCATCAGGAGCATGTCCAGGCGTTGTAGGGAGGTCATATAGGTACATGGAGGCCACACACATTACTGAGCCTCATTTTGACTTGTTTTAAGGACATTACATCAAAGTTGGATCAGCCTGTAGTGTTTTTTTCCCACTTTAATTTTGAGTGTAACTCCAAATCCAGACCTCCGTGGGTTGCTAAATTTGATTTCCATTGATAATTTTTGTGTGATTTTGTTGTCAGCACATTCAACTATGTAATAAAGTATTTCATAAGAATATTTCATTCATTCAGATCTAGGATGTCTTATTTTTGTGTTCCCTTTATTTTTTTGAGCAGTGTAGTATTGTAGAACACCAAAGATAAGGGTTTGGAAGCTAAACTTGAGCTGATGAACATTTGAGGGATTTAAGTACCGTATTTGCCGGCGTATAAGACGACTGGGCGTATAAGACGACCCCCCAACATTTCCACTCAAAATATAGAGTTTGTTATATACTCGCCGTATAAGACTACCCCCTCTTCCACACACCTTCCACTTTTGCACTTTTTTTTTTTTTGACGCACTTTTCTGCTTTGGACAATTTTGAAATGAGCTAATCCAATTTTGAACCAAGAATATGCAAATAGCTATGGAGTTTAGAAATGAGTTTTAAAAATATTTTTCATTGCTTACCATTAAGCGTAAAATATGTTGTAAATAAAATGAGAACACAGGAAACGTTCTCTTCTCAATACAGCTGATCTCTCTCTCTCTCTCTCTCTCTCACACACACACAACCAAAAACCCGGACACTGAAAAGGCTGCCAAGGAACAGTATATTCAATGCCTTCTCTTTAATCAAGAAACAAGGAATTCCTTAGAATCTTTTTTTTTCCCCAAGTGGCCCTCTTTAAAAAAAAAAATGGAGGTAACACTTTCATTCAAAAAGTCTTCCAGTATCTGGAGTCGCTCAGACATATTGAAGTGAGGCAGGAGAGTAAGTGAAATTTGAAATGATCCAGCTACCGTTTTCTTCCCCTCCCGCCCGAAGGCCATTATCTCCACGTCAAAACGAACGAGGGGAGGCAAAGAAGCCAAACACGCTAAAAAGGATCTCTTTATTTTCCTACACAAGGTCACACCTACTTTTCCGCATTCAAAGGACAACCTCTCCTCACCACCACCACACACACACACACCCCAATACCCGCAAACAATGTTCTGGGCATTAATCACCATTGCTACATTAACCTGGTAAATTTATACCCTGCCTCCCCCAGTGTTGCTTTGACGGCAGGATTTCACACAGCGGGGCGCTCGCTCGCTCTCTTCTCCGCTCTCCCACCGTTCGCACATGTTGGAAGCACCGTAAAACCTGATAACCCACCCGGGGACTCCCCCATCCTTAACCTACAGCCGCGCGCGCACACACACACACACACACACCCCGCTCCCCCCCCCCAGCCTCCCTCCCGGCTGCAACTCAAGCTCGAAGTGGGAGTCGGAGTCCTCCCGGCGTATAAGACGACCCCCCCACTTGGAGGCATGTTTTTCAGGGCAAAAAAGTCGTCTTATACGCCGGCAAATACGGTATATCTAGCCTATTGAAGACAAGGATCGGAGGGACATGATAACTGTCTTTCATTGCTTGAGTGGTTGTCAGAGAAGAGGTGAATGATTTATTCTACAAAGCACTTGAAGGCAGGACAAGAAGTAATGAGTGGAAACTTATTAAAGAGAGATCCAACCTAAAAGGAGAAGAAAGGAGGAAGAGAGAACCCATCTAGAAGTCAGGAGAAATTTTCTGAAAGTGAGGACAATTAACCAATGGAACAACTTGTCTTCTGGGTAACTGGATAACTGGAGATTTTCAAAACTATATGGGCAGCCATTTGACCAGGATGGTAGAACTACTCCTGTCTTGATCAAGTGGTTGGACTAGAATATTTCTGAGCTCCCTTCCTGCCCTGTGATTTGACGTCCTTTTCCTTCTCCATGCTTATTAAGAATAAAGTTTCAGCTATGCTTGAAGCAGCACCTTGATTGGAAAGGATATAGACAGAGTCTCCAGAGTATCAACACATTCTGCTAACACTTCTCCCTGCTGCTGACAGACCTGAGCCTTGATAGAAAAGTCTAGCAGAAATCTTACCTGGAACCCCACATTATTGTCTTTAGGAGCAGGAGAGTTTCAGAAAAAGAATCAAATTGATAGCAAGGGCAGGAGAATGGCTGGGCAGATATGACCTGGAGGAAAACAATTGGCACCACACAATTGGTGGTGTCAATGGGCCCCGAGAAGAAAAGAAGCAACATAAAGCTTAAGTTCCAAGATTCCTGGAAGTGGAATGATTACCCCTAAACTAACATACCCACCTCAATTCCACACAGTTTCACTTTTATCTCTCTGCTGTTTCCCTTTCCACCTTCCATGAGCTAGTTAACACTAATGTGAAACTTGCAGCTATCCTGTCATCTTACCAGAAGTCATCTTACCAGAAGCGTAGCATACAAAAGCAGAATGAACACCTGCATAAAAATGTGCACCACCCCCTGCCACCAGAAGGTGTTTTCCTTTTGTTCCTCCCTGATATCCAGTATCTTCCTTCTATGCTATTAATCTCAAAGCAGTGGCATGCATGGTCTTACTTTTAAGAATAATAAACCCTTCGGGAAGGCCACCTTGGAGTCCCAAACCAAGGCTGTTCAGATCAGATTGCTTCTGCTTCTGGATCCACTCTCGTACAAGTGGCACATTCTGATTGTCCCTCAGGTTGTTTAGATTTGTGCCCAGCAGGCCTTTTACATTTTCAGGGGTTAATTCCTACAGAATAAATAGAACAAAACCAATCAGGAGCAATCTTCACTTTGCTGCTTTCCCAACCACCACCACCCCCCGCATATAAGAGATACGTTTGACTTGCTTCAGGGAAGGGGTGAAGTGAACATTGCCCTTGGTTGAAGTCACTGAAAGTGAGCAGAAATGCTTCTGATTTTCCCACATTTCACCCCACAATGATTGTAACCCTGAGAGGAGAAATGCCCAATTCTCCCAGCCTGCTCCCAGAGGGAGAGGAACCAATCAGCACAGACTCACCTACAGGTATCTATTCCCCTTTCCCAGGTCATTATTTGGCTGCACCCAGCTGGCTAGTTGAGTCCCATCTTGGCCTTTTCAGACAATACCCATAGGCAGACAAGGTGGCACACGTCTCCCGCCCATACCCTCAGCTTCGAAAAGGGAAAGCAGCTGGAGTGTGTGGAGTGAGCAGGTGAAGATGAGGTGAGGTGAGATTGACCTCTGGGTAAGTGCCCGTTGAAAGGCAACCAAATAGACTGATACCCAACTGCTAAGCCATAAGTCAGGGTAAGCAGCCGGCTTCCGGTTTGAGCTTCTTAGGTGACAGACCGAAATCTGCGATCGTGTACAGTTTTGATCTGTGCTTGCCGCTCGAGCTCCCTGAACCAGCTGGTTTCAGGGCTAAGCCACCCCGTAGAAGTGGTGAAGAGGGGGGAGACTGCCAGCAGGGTCGAGGAGAGTCGCATCTCTCCTCCCCAGCTGGCCATTACTCCCTTTCCCGAAGGCGGTTGCAGCGGTGGTCAGACATGGCCACCTCAAAGAAGAACTCGACCGGAAAAGAATGTGCAGGAGGAAGATAAGAAGAGAAAGTTTTGGCTGACCGGGTCGAACTGAAAAAGCAACAATATAAGGTACCCTGGAATTTGAATTATAAAGAACAACATTGTTCCCAAAGAAGACTTTGAAGCGGCGAATGAGAGAGGGAAGGGAAAGGATTTGGTTTTTTTTTCTTTTCTTCCCTATATTGACAACTAAGAGATTTAAGCAAGAAACCGGCAAAAATCCACTTTGACATTAACAGGTATTTAAGCTGAAAATAAAATGTCAAAGGGATAATAAAGATTTCTGGATTCTCAAAAACTTTTAAAAGAAGGAAAAAAACAAAGGGAAAAATGGAGGAGACCACCTGGAAGTGAAAGGAATTAACAGTGAAACTTTAACAAGATTCCTAAAAGATATATTTTAACTGAAACTTTGTAACAAGATAAGAGAACCCCAGGAAGAGAAAGTGGAAAAAAGAAGCAAGAAGAAACAGTTTTGGATTATTTGGATTACTTGGTGATTTTTGGATTTTTAGCTATTGGATCTAAAGGACTAAAATTAATCAGGTGGTTGTTTAAAAGTTTTTAAAATGGTATCACTCTTGGAAGAATTGAGAATGGAACTTAAAAAACAGAAAGAAGATGCACAAGAAGGAAGAGGTTCTTTTGGCTTCGTATTTCAATTTTTAGAAATGGAGATCCTGAACTATGAGAAACAACAAGAAATGCCTGTAGAACAAGAAGGGCGGGACAAAGAAGAAGCCATCTTCAATGACCAAGTATTTCTATGTGGGGAAAAGAAAGGAAAGGGGGGAAAGGGAGTGGAAATTTTTTGGGGGGTTGAAAAAACAACCCAAAAAAAGAATAGTTTGAAAAGTAATTATAACATTAGGAAGAAACAGAAGAGAGGATTACAGAAGAGAGAATCAGAATTAGAGAGAGAAGTGGTCAAAAAGGGAAGGGAGAAGAAGAGGGGGAAGAGGGAAAGGAAAAGAAATTATAAAGGACAGAAACAGGACATAGAGAAACAGGGAAAACGTACAAGGATTGAGGGTATAAGCCTATTTAGAAGACACAGAGATAATGGGTGAAAACTTAATTGAAAGGGGGATTCTGCAAGGATACATAAGATAGTATTGTTATATTAGAAATAGAAATGAACTTTGAAAATATAAAACAAGTGTGATTAAAATGATAGATAAAACATTCATTGTAATGTAATGGAATGTTTAATAAATAAATGAAATAAAGAGAATTAGAGAATGAAATTAGGAAAAGAGGGGAACATTTTAATTATTATAAATGTGTTATAAAAAATTAAGTGAAGAGGAATATGAAAGAAACATGAAAATATTATGGAAATATTATAAGTGTTCCTAGAAGTATGACACCCTATTGAAAAGAAATGTTAAAGATGTCAAAAATTATAACTAACATTAATGATAGAGCTGAATTGGAATAGAATAAGTA